TGCTCCAGACCTTGTCTAGGCAAGAAGGGCTTTCAGTTCAATTGGTAAATACTTGCAGAAAAGGAAATCACACAGTGCTTTAGCACCTCATTCATGATCTTTCTGGAATCGAAAGTTAATTCTTCCAGAATAATCTAATGCTGTTTTCTTGTTCCGTATCCTTGAAAGAGATGAAGGACCATTCACCTCTAGGCACTCTGTCATAACACATGGCAAGAACATTTCAAACCTTATATTAATTCCTAATGATTTTTGAATCTTTCAGTTTGTTTTTGCATCCAAGAGATGGAAATTTGAGAATGAGTCTGGTCTGTTGAGACATCGATGCTGTATATAAAAATGGAATAAGGAGAAGTGCTTATGTGTGGAAATGCTGTGTTAGCTATTACTACCCAGTCTACAGCTGCTACCACCACCAATTCCAATGCTAATACAACCACAGTGAGAAGAAACAGACATTTTTAAAGACATTGATTATTTTAAACCTTTACATAATATTTGACACAAACGTTTAAAAATAAAAACAGGGAGGTGCCTGTGGCTCAGTAGGGCACCAGCCTCAGATACCAAGGGTGGCGGGTTTGAACCCAGTCTCGGCCAGCTGAAACAGCAGTGGCAACTGCAACCAAAACAGCCAGGTGTGGCAGGTGCCTGTAGTCCCATCTACTTGGGAGGCTAAGGCAAGAGAATTGCTTAAGCCCAAGAGTTGAAGGTTGCTGTGAGCTGTGACACCACAGCATTCTACCAATGGTGACATAGTGAGATTCTGTCTCAAAAAAAAAAATAAATAAATAAATAAAAACAAAACTTTAGAATTGAGCTATCCTTCTCTCCAGCAGAAGCCTGCTATATGGGGTTACATTTCCCCTGTGGGTAGGACACTGGTTTTCCTTAGAACCTCTAATCCCTTCCTAGATCTTTCCCATTAGTTCTTTTTTTTTTTTTTTTTTTTTGAGACAGAGCCTCAAGCTGTCCCCCTAGGTAGGGTGCCGTGGCATAGCTCACAGCAACCTTCATCTCCTGGGCTCAAGCGAGTCTCCTGCCTCCGCCTCCCAAGTTGCTGGGACCACAGGCGCCCGCCACAATGCCCGGCTGTTTTTTGGTTGCAGCCGTCATTGTTGTTTGGCAGTGCGCGGGCTGGGTCAAACCTGCCACCTTAGGTGTGTATGTGGCTGGTGCCTTAGCCACCTGAGCCACAGGCGCCGAGCCCCCATTAGTTCTTTAAACAAGTTGACTAAAAACAGTACAGGAGGTAGGGGTGGGGGGTGGGATGGGATTTGTTCCTGGGCACCAAGGACTTAGGTTTTAGCCACTTTATGGGCTAACCTTTCAGGCCATAATGGTTCACTTTTCTACTTTATGAACTTGCCAAAAGCAAAAGTAATTTCCCCTTACTTGTCATACGAACCAGAAATGATTGCGTCTGAATTTATGGGGTGAGTTGCTTTGTTAGAAGAGGAATAGTACCCTGTCCCTGTCAGAAATGATCCTAATAGAGTTCTATTCTGTGCATCTTTCCTCACCTTCTTGCTATTGTAGCACCAGTATCAAGGGCTGGCAGTAAAGCCAAGAAAAAGAACGCAGAAGATGGCTGCTATGGTCTGAATGTCTGTGTCCCCCTAAAATTTGTATGTTGAAACCCAATCTCCAATGTTATTGGAGGTGGGAGCTTTGGGAGGTGATTAGGTCATGAGGATGGAGCTTCATGAATGGAATTAGTGCCATTATAAGAGATTAAAGAGACCAGATTTCTTCCTTTCCAGCCATGTGAGGACAAGATAGGAGACACTGCTTTATAAGGAAGTAGGCCTCCACCAGACACCAAATCCTCTGGTGCCTTGATCTTAGACTTCTTAGACTCCAAAACTGTGAGAAATAAATTTCTGTTGTTTATAAGCTACCCAGTCTATGGTATTTTCTTAGTGCAGCCCAGATTTAGACAATGATATTCTGATTGCAAGATTAAACATATTAATAATCCTTGACCTTGCCTATTTCTCCCAGCCTTTTATTTGTGTCCATTTTTAAAGCTCCTGCAGAATTGGAAGGTTTTATCACCCAAAATGGCCAGATAGAAAGTTAATTACAATTGTTTTGCCACATCTATTAGCTGGCAAAGAGGGGGTGATGAAACTGGCTGATGACTGACTTTAAACCCTGGGAAGTGTTCAGGATGAGCTGTTGTAACTTACTCATTCTATAGCATCAGATTCTATTCCAAAGACCTCTCTCTGCCTTTTTAACCTTACCCCTTTAGAGACAGTTTTCACCAGTGGAATTAAAGAATCCAGATGTGGCGAGATAGACATGCATAGTTTCATGGGTATACAAAACTTTGAAAGAACTGAGCTAGTATAGTCTGTCAGAGTCTCCTTGGTTCATGTTAACTTCGAGTCATGCAGAGTCCAACAAAAAAGGACTATTTAAATCAATAATGGTACATTTATGTAATGGAATACTACATAGCTATTAGGGTCACAGAAAAACATAGGAACTATGTCACAGAAAAACATAGGAACTTTTCTAGTGATCTACCTATTTAATAACACAGAAAGTTATTCATAATATGAAATGGGGGGAAAGAATGTTAAATAACAATATACATTTGTGCAGCATCATCTTATATTTTTAATAAAAAGAATATGCCATATATAAAATATGCAAGGAAAAAACATGTCAAAACAGATGAAAATTTTAACAATGTTCAGTTTGAATAGAGGAATTATGAGTATGTTTTCCCTTTGTGTATGTTTTCTCTCTGTGTTTTCCCAAATTCTCTGCACTTAATATTTGTTGCTTTTGTAATTAGAAGTAGAAACAACTACATCTTCCTTTTTAAAGAATGGTGTTACAGTGTGACTGGCAACTGTTTAATCATAGTGTGTCTGCATTTCTGGAATCATCTCAAGTTCAGAGGCTCATCCTCACTTTCAAGTTTAGAAACACAATTTGATTAATTCACTAAAGACTGTCATGGTACAAAAATGATAAAGACTAGTTCCCCATTCTCAGTTCACATCACTAGTGCTTATATTCTTATTTGTTTATTAGATTTCTCCTAACATAATTACTTCTTCAAAGAATTTGGCTTTTCTAAGGCTCTTGAAGCAGAGTACCAAATCACTTTTTAAAAATTATCCTATTAGCAATGCAGAAAAGGACAGTACTGTGCCCCCCTAAGCACCAAGATTTTCATTACTGAGTGCCACTTGAACAGTTTAAAAATTATTCTTTAATTGGCATTTTTAGAAAATTTCTAGTAATTTCATATGATTTTTACTTACGTATTTTCTTTGGTTATAACTTTTAGAGACAGCTGATTCCATTTGTGTGAGAGGAAAAAGGACCCAGGAAAGGAGCTTTTGGTTTAGAATCAGGAAATCAGGGTTCTACTACAATGGCTTTCTAAATGGCCTCCTATTTCCATTTTTGACCACTTCTATTCCATTGTCCACACAGCAACCAGAACGATCATTTTAAAGCTTTAATCAATTCATGTCCCCCTCCTGCCTAAAATCACCCTGCGGCCTCCTACAACTTTAAAATAAATTCAGACTCTGCTATGCAAGTTTGTTCACTCCTTTGCTGCCACACTGGCCTTCCCACATTGTTTCCACCTCAGAGCTTTTTGTCTTTACTGTTCCCTTTGCCTACAAAGTTCTTTTCTTAAATTTTCACCTATGTGGCTCCTTCTTGTCCTTTTGTGTTTAGCTCAAACATGACCTCCTCGGACAGCCTTTCTGGGCCTTCCTGCCATCACATCCACATGTTTTATTACAATATATTCACAACAGTCTGATATTATCCTAATCATTTGTTGTGTCAACCTTAAATAAGGAGATTCCGAAAATATGATTAAGTATAAAGTTTAATTCCAGAGCAAAGCTTGAGGATAGCCATACCCAGAAAACACTGATTCCAAACAAATGTGGTCAGCCTTCCAAAGAGAAGCTAAGATTTCATTTACACAGGCAGAAAAAGAGACGTTGTAGCAGGATTACATTTTTCATGGTGATTACAAATTCTAATGAAGATTATTTCTCTGTGAGAAGGGTTACTGATCTGACGGAATTTTATTTCTGGCCCATTTCATCCTCCTTATTTTTTACAGGAGAGGAAAAAAAAGCAAAAGTTGCAACTACATGACCCTTGACTCAGCCACATTCCTCTCAAGGCTCAGAAAAATTTAAAGTCCAAGAGCTTTGAGTTTGAATGATTTAATTTCACAGTTGGTTCACTTGTTCTTTTCCTGTCTCCCACGCTAGAAAGCTCAGAGGAAGACAACCTTGGCAGGCTCCTGAAGTGCAGGTTAGTCATTGGAGACCAGCTGAGTGCATGAACTGTGCAGGCCTGAGTATTCCTCCTCGTTAAAGAGGATTATTAGATGACTGAGCAGGTTGAAGCAGAGCCATCCTTTTAATGAAGCCAGCTTGGGAATTTCTAGAAACTTCTCTGGGAGTTTTACCTCTTTCGGAGAGAGAGGGAAGATAGGCAATAATCTGTACGGTATAGTGTTTTCACAAGTTTGAAAGCGCTTAGCACGCTACCATAAGGGAGGGAGACACGGGCAGAAAGCCATTTGGAAGGGCTTCCTTTCTCTCTCTCTTTTTTTTTCTTTTAGCCGGGCTCAAGCCAAACACCTAGGCGCTGTCGGGGCAACTAGTCTGCAGTCCCCGCCTGGGGGAGGGGATGGGGCCCCCAGGCACCTCCCACCACGTGAGCCCGAGGCTCGGACAGCCGTAAAGTGGCTTTCAAATTATTACATGCACTTAACATCTTCTCCTGAGTTTAAAACAACAAAAAATTCTCTGAACAAACGCCAAAGTTGGGAAGAAGGCCTGATCGCAGCACCCGCCCTGGTCAGCGCTCCTCCCCGCCAGCCCTTCCTTCCCCAGACCCCCTAGGCCCGGGGCGGCGCTGCAGGACCGCGCGGGGCGGGCCAGTTGACAACACCAGGTGGGGACTGCGCAGGCGCGGCCGGGCTCGCGCGCGCTCTGTCGCGCGCCGGGCAGTTCGCGCGGGAGCCGGGCGCAGGGGTTCGGGGGCTGCGCGTCGGTAGGAACTGAAGCCGCGGCGAGGTGCGGAGAAAGCCAGGATGGCGACTCCGAGTAGGAAGACCTCGACCCCGACCCCCGGGGCTTCCAAGCGAGCTCTACCAAGAGACTCTTCGTCGGAGGTCCCGAGCAAGAGAAAGAATTCGGCCCCGCAGCTGGCGCCGCTGCCGTCGTCCGGGCCTTTCGTGGAAGGCTCTATCGTCCGCATCTCGATGGAGAACTTCCTGTGAGTGGCTGGGAGGCCGCGGCGCGGCGGGGGAGGCCCGGGCCCGCTAGCCCCGGGGCACCAGCTGCGGGGGGGTGGGGGGGGTGGGGGTGGGTGTGCGAGTGTGGACCCCGGCTTGAGGGTCTGGGAGGAAATTCGTGCAGGCGTTCCGGGTAGGTTTTTATACGTAGGCCGCGGAGATTGATGTGTGTTGGTGTAGTAGGTGTGTGTCTTGTGTGATGTTTTTAAAAATGTATTCCGCCAACGTTTTTTGAAGGCGTCATATAGCAAGCAGTCTTGGGGACGTTCTAGGGGCTAGAACTCAGCAGTTGCTATCTATAGGGGACCTCGTCTGTAATCACAGAAGTATTGGCCCTGAGAACTCAGAGGAGGCAGCTGCTAATTTGGAGTGGCAGTGATGCTGTCGCAGATTCTTAGAATAGGCACTTAAAGAGTAGAACTGAGAGTGGTAGATAAGATGGTAGGTTGTTCCTGACGGGGGTTAGAGTATACAAAAAAATAATAATAATAATTAAACCTTATCTCAGCTGTTGTACCTCCCTACAAACACTTTCTCCCATCCAAATTCACCTTTCTTCTCTTGTTCCTCTTTCTCTTCAGACATCTCGTTATCACTTCAGAATTTAGTATGTTTTAACAAAAATATCTGGCGACTTAAAGTTCATTTGTTCAAGGTCTTTGTTTTTTAAGCTTGTACAGAGTGGCATAACGGTAACAGAATCGTAATAATGGTACTACCTTTTGTTTCAAGCGCCTATCATGTGCTAGGTACAAACTTAATGTTATATTTACCCAGTGCTCTCTTTCTTCATAACAACTCTAATTGTCTGAATTGATGAGGTAAGTCCAGAATACTTACTCAGCCCAGGTTTACACAACTAGTAAGTAGCTGAATTGCTGTTTGAATCCAGATCAGGAAAGATACATGTAATCAAATGTAGTTGTGGTAGCTATGTATTAGGATCCCACAAAGGATGAAAGGGTTCCTTTCATTCACAACTGTGAAAAAGGGTTTTGTAGAGAAGACATGGAAGTCTTAAAAGAAGGGAAGAACATTGCAGACAGAAGGAACTACCGCAAGAAGCAGTTGGTATATTTAGAAAGTGTCAGGTATTTTATTATGTCTAGGTCTATGTCCTGTGAGATCTGAGTGAAAACTTGGACAAAGATAAGCAATCATTGAGATGTCTGTATGTTTGCTATGCTAAAAATTTTCAGCTTCATCCTGTAGGCATCCAGGATGTGGAAAAAATGATATGTGACTTAAATGGAAGTATCGTGTAGAGGATAATTTAGAAAGGGTGCAAAATGGGACACAAGAAGACTTTTACAAGATGAAGGCAAGAGATGATCAGTTTCAATTCAGTAGGAGCTTAAGGGAAAGAGATTTGACTACAGGTTAAAAGGATCTGGCTGTAGGTTAATTGTGAAGCATGAAAGCAAAGAAGGAGTGAATGCAGCGGTTTCCCTAAGTCTGCCTTAGGTAATTAGTCAGGTGCTATTCAGAAGAGGGACCAGTTTGTGGAGAATAATAGACACTTCTTGGATGTGGTGACTTGAACTATGGAACATGTAAGAGAGATGATGTTCTGTAGGCAGAATTTATGAGTATCTGAAGCTTAGAGGAAAATGTGAACGGATGAGAAATTTGGGAGTCATGCAGACAGGTAATTGTTGAAGTTGCAGAACTGGTTGAGATTGCCCAAAAGGAATTATAAATTGAAGGAATAGAAAGTGCTGTACAGAGTCTTGGGGGCATGCCAACATTTAAGGGTGAGCAGAAGAGGAACTCACAGATTGAGAAGGTACTGTTCAGGGAGGTAAGATGAGAACCTTGAGAGACTATTATCAAAGAAGCCAAAGAAAAAGAATGTTTGAAAAATTTCATTTGCTACATTGAAGTGAGATAACAGGACTGAAAAGAGCCTGCTGCATTTAGCAATTAGGAAATTTTTGACTCTGATGAAACAATGGAAGCAGAAAACTTTGCAGGCCTTAGAAGACTGATTGAGGGGTGAGGAAGTAAAGTTTGGATGTAAAGAGGAGAAAGAAAGATTGCTGAAAAGTGGCAAGGTAGGTGAGGTTTTATTTTAATGATGAGAGGATTTTAAGTTTTAGGAGTGAAGTAGGGTAGTGGTAGGCCTGGAGAATTAGCAAGGAAGCAGGAGGGGTGGCAAGGCTTAGAGAACACAAATGGCCTAGAAATAGTCACAGAAGGGTTTCTAACAAATGAACCAGATTGAATGGAGCTGAGAGTGGAGGGAGAGATTTCTTGAGCTTAAGGAATACGCAAAGGAAGCAAAAGAGTCAAGAAACTGAAAGAAGTACATTATAGGTAGAATTTAGAGGTCTGAACAGGATAGGGAAAGGAAATAAAAAGTAGAAAAAGATGAATCTGGCTAAATTGTGAAAAGTTCTTTTTTTTAACAAGTGACATCAGATTTACCAGTTTACCACCATGACTTGGTAATTAATTAGATGTTTTGGGTAGAGTCAAAAGAGATGAAAGAGTCAAAGGTGATGCAAAACTAATGCCTATGCTTCTGATTTGGGGAATGAGATGAATGATATACCATTCATTGTGAGACTGAAATAGTGGTTTTGGATGGGAAGATGGTGGATTTAGATTTGAAAGTGTTAAATTTAAGCTGACTGTTATGGGACATCCAAATAGAGTTAATTGAGGTGGTTGTGGCATACATCGTTCATCCGGACTGATTTACAGCAAGTAAATGCTATCTGAGGAGAATACATGAGATACTTCATAAAGTATATAGAATGAGGAAAGAATGGGCTTTTTACCATAGCTCTTTGCAGGAGTGCTCAGAGAAGAGAGAAGTCAAAGGTAGGGAATTACCAACATATTAACATATTGTAGAGTCAGAAGAATGATTTTAAAATGATGCAGAGGTTTGGCTTTGACAGCTCTATTTATAATAGAGTACTCTTTAGGCCAGATACTGTCATGCTTTTCCCTGTTGTTTTTAATGTTTTCTTAAGTACCAATTCTCATCACTGTTTTAGTGTGACATTTGTGTACAGATTTCAAAACAGGAAATCAAGCATTAAAAGAATGGGGTTTTATATGTTGAGATTAGGAAGTTCCATGTCGGGTAATCTCCCAGATGTCTAAAGTTCCCAAATGGTTCTATTTGAACCATTGTAAAGGGCTTTTAAAAAGACTCTGCAGTAACAGAACAAAACATCTGAAAAGGCAAAGTAGATGCTGTGTTAGAGGTGTGGGGTTGTCAAACCTGCCAGAAAATACTTTTCCTTTGCCACCTATATTTATTTTTCTTACCACCTGGCATTTTAAAGTCATTAATTTCTTTAAGTATTAATGTGTTCAGTTAATTTATTTATATATTTGTTATGTTAGTAGCAGATCACACTTTGATTCTTGGGGAATTAGTTGACAGCTACTGGAGAGCTAACTGAAATGCTATGGACAAAGGACATTATTTATGGGTTCCCATTCAAAGATGTGTTAGAAGAATTTCTAAGTCAGAGTTTATGTCCCACTTTACCTAGTAATTGTTTCTTGCAAGTAAATAAAGATTAGATGCTAACAGTGCAGGTAGTTAAGAGTGCTGGATAGTGTGCAGCTTTTTTTTTTTTTTTTCTCTTTTTAGCTAGAGGGTCTCACTTTGGCTTTCAGGCTGGCCTCCCATCTCCTGGACTCAAGTGATTTTCCCACCTCAACCTCCCAAATAGATGAGACTATAGGCATGTGCCACTATGCTCAGGTTAAAAAATAATTTAAAATATTAATAAAATGAAGTAAGTCATTGAGTTAATATATAGGTTCAGTTTTCTGATTAAAATAAAATTTGGGGCCGGATGCAGTGATTTGTGCTTGTAATCCAGTACTCTGGGAGGCCAAGGCAGGAAGATTGCTGGAGCTCAGGAGTTTGAGACCAGCCTGAGCAAGAGCAAGACTTCATCTCTACTTTTTTTTTATTATTAAATGATAGCTGTGTACATTAATGCAATCATGGGATACAGTGTGGTGTTTTCATATAAAATTTGAAATATTTTCATCAAACTGGTTAACATAGCCTATATGTCATTTTCTTAGTTATTGTGTTAAGACATTTATATTCTACTTTTAGAAAGATTCACTTGTACCCTTGTAAGATAAACCATAGAGGTGATCCCACCAATCACCCTCCCTCCACCCATCCACCCCCTCCCCTCATCTTTCCCTACCCCCTCTAGATATTCTTAGGCTATGATTAGGTTATAGCTTTCATATGAAAGCTATAAATTAGTTTCATAGTAGGGCTGTGTACATTGGATACTTTTTCTTACATTCTTGTGATACTTTGCTAAGAAGAACATTTTCCAGCTCCATCCATGGACCCCATCTCTACTTAAAATAGAAAATTAAAAAAAAAAAACAAAAACCTAGCAGGGTTGGGTCAGGTGCCTCTACTCCCAGCTACTTGGGAGGCTGAGGCAGGAGGACTGCTTGAACCTAAGAGTTTGACATTGCTGTGAACTAGGCTAACACGATGGCACTCTAACCTGGGCAACAGAGTTAAGACTCTGTCTCAAGAAAAAAGAAAACTTTGTTTTTGTTAGATTATTTCAAATATTAAAATATGAGAAGAAGCCCCTTAAGCATTTTAATTTAAAAGAAAAATAAACATAAATTGACAGATTTAAGGTAAGCCATGGCCTTTCCTATAAAATTTGTTTTAAAGTTATTTATATAGTAGTTTTAATAATGTTATAATTATTTAAAAAAATAGAATATACCAAACTTGCTTTTTTTTTTTTTGAGACAGAGTCTCAAGCTATTCCCCTAAGTAGAGTGCCGTAGCATCACAGCTCACAGCAACCTCCAACTCCTGGGGTCAAGCGAGTCTCCTGCCTCTGTCTCCCAAGTAGCTGGGATCACAGGCGCCTGCCACAACGCCTGGCTATTTATTTATTTTTTTTTGGTTGCAGCCATCATTGTTGTTTGGCTGGCCCAGGCTGGATTCGAACCTGCTACCTTAGGTGTATGTGGCTGGCGCCTTAGCCACTTGAGCCATAGGCACCCAGCCACTTTTGTTTCTTTTAACAGACTTTTGAACTTGTAAGTTCAGCTCGTTTTTAAGGAATTTGAAGAGGCTTATAGATAATGTAAAGCAAGAAAAAATGCTTTATGAAAGAAAACATTCTTCTCTCATTTCTTAATAATTTCACATCTTTATAATACAGAACATATGATGTTTGTGAAGTATCTCCTGGACCACACTTGAATATGATTATTGGAGCTAATGGAACAGGGAAATCAAGTATCGTCTGTGCCATTTGCCTTGGATTAGCAGGCAAACCTGCTTTTATGGGACGAGCAGATAAGGTAAGTTGACATAAGTACTTCAGAAAATTCAAAGCTGTTAATTCCTTTTAGTTACCCATCAATTTCAGTTTCTTGGATATAGCAAACTTGTAGTGCTTGAATGTAAGGAGTGAATTTGGCAGGTAGAGAATCTGGAAGCGGATTTTTCATTTCTAGAAGTATTTTGGACTATATACCTAGGGGATTTTCCAATTAACTTACATCCAAAATGCTAAAAATAATATAATATATCTTTTTAAAAATGCATTTCTGGGCTTATAGAATGGCGAAGTAAATTTATAAAGGGCAGAAACAAACAGTCATATGTCACTGAATGGTGGTGGTATGTTCTGTGAGATTAGTCTTTAGGCGATTTTGTTGTTTTGTGAGCATTATAACGTATACTTACACAAACCTATATGGTATACCTTGCTAACACCTAGACTATATGTTATGGCCCAGGGGTGTCCAACCTGTGGCCCACATGAGCAGATTATTTGGGAACTATTTTGCTAATCTGTGGTGCTGTATATTGAAAAAAAAGTATGCATGGACTTTTTTTAATTGTTTGGGATTCCTTGAGGGTGCGAAGAATTAGGTTACACTGATTGTATTTGTTATGCAAAGTCCGTCTTATAATTGTGTCCTGCCCCCAAGAGGCATGCCATGCTCTGAGAATTATGTCTTGCCCCCAAGAGGCATGCCATGCTGTGCACCCCCACTTTCTTCCCTCCTCCTCTCTCCTGGCTCCCTTATTCCCCTGACCCCCCCACCTTGTATTAGCTCATCTACTGCCTTCATATTAGAATTGAGTACATTGGATTCTGGCTTCTCCATTCTTGTGAGGCTTTACTATGAAGAATGTATTCCAGCTCAGTCCAGATTAATACAAAAGATGTAAAGTATCCATCTTTTTTAATGGCGGAATAGTATTCCGTAGCATACATATATCACAGCTTGTTAGTCCATTCCAGGGTTGGTGGGCATTTAGGTTGTTTTCCACCTGCCTTGCCCTCCCAGAGTACTGGGATTATAGGTGTGAGTCACCATGCCCAGCTATATGTCTTCTTTTAACAAAGGCCTGTTCTGGCTCTGCGCCGGTTGCACAGTCCTTACGGCACCGGCCACATGCACCGAGGTTGGTGGGTTTGAACCCATTCCAGGCCAGCTAAACAATGACAACTGGCACAAAAAAAATACCCGGGCGTTGTGGCAGGGGCCTGTAGTCCCAGCTACTTGGGAGGCTGAGTTAAGAGAATCCCTTAAGCCCACGAGTTTGAGCTTGCTGTGAGCTATGATGCCATGGCACTCTACCAAGGGCAACATAGCGAGACTCTGTCTCAGAAACAAAAAACAATTGTCTGTTTAGATACTTTGACCATTTTTTAATGGGATTATTTGGTTTTTTCCTTACCGTTGTTGAAGTTCCTTTTGTCAGATGAATGGTTTGCACATATTTTCTCCCATCCTGTGGGTTGTCTCCTGACTTTTTTGATCATTTTCTTTGCTGTGCAGAAACTTTTTAGCTAGATGTTACCCCATTTGTCTAATTTTGCTTTGACTACCTGTACTTTGGGATATTACTCAAGAAGTTCTTGCCTAGACCAATGTCCTGCTTCATTTTTTTCTTACTCTCTATTTTCTTTTTTCTCTCTTCTTTCTGTGTATTTTCAAAAAGCCTATCTTCAAAGCTATTTGAAAATTCTTCCTTGTTCTGCTGATTAGCTCTGCTCTTGAAATAAACTCATTTGTCAGTTTGTCCCTTGAATGTTTTAGTTACAGAATTTCTGCTGATTTTCTTTTTTCTTTTTTTTTTTGTAATTTCAGTCTCTTTCTAAAATTTCTGTGATAGGCTTCTTTTTGGGTGTTGTCTTTAAGTTCATTGAGCTTCTCAGGAAAGGTATTTTGAATTCTTTGTCTGAAAGGTTCATATGTCTATCACTCCCAGGATTGATCACTAGTATCTTACTTTGTTTTATGAGATCATAGTTTCCTAGATGTTCTTGATGCTTGTGGACATTCATCAATGTATAATCTTTGTAGTTGGGACTTGTTTGAACTTGTTTGAACCTGTTCTTCTTGAAAAGGCTTTCCAGATGTTCATAGGTAATTGAGTGTTATGATCTAAGCTGTTGAGCATGGGAGGTCCTCGAGCACAGTTATGCTGTGACTCTTAGTCTCTCAGTGGTATCATCTTGGTGGACTTGGGTAAGATACAGAAAAATTCCTTGGATTACCGGGCAGTGTCTCTCATTTTCTTCTCTTAATCTCTGTTCTGGGCTGATGGAGCTGTGGGAGGAGTGACATACACAGTGCAGATGAGACTTTGCCAGATTACACCTAAAGCCAGCCCATTCTTATCCAGTGCTGGTGGTGGCTGTTGTGTGGCTACCTCTGATATTTATGCAAAACTCAAGGGCTCTTTAATCAACAGGTGGTGAGTCCTACAAGGACTGGGTCCTTTCCTTCAGAGCAGCATGTTTCCTTTGGGCCCTTTTTGTGTCTAGAAATGCCTTCTAGGAACTAAGGCCTAGACAGCGGCTTCAGGAATCTACTTGGCGTTTTATTTTACTATTGGCTGAGCTGCTACCCAGGGTGAAAAACAAAGTCCTATGACTCCTTCCCTTGCCTTTCCTCCAAGTATAAGAAGACTCTCCCTAAGCTGTACTGCCTGGAATTGGGGAAAGAATGATATAGGCACTGGTTTGGCCACTGTTGCTAGGATCTCACTGGGTTACATATACCCTAGGACCACTGACTGTAAGCCAGCACAGCCATAGGAATTGCACAAGGACTGCAGCCTTTGTGGCCTCACTGCCTTATGAATTTATTCCAAGGTCTAGACTGCTTTTTGTCAGCTGGTGGTGGGGCTAGCTGGAACTTGAGTGTTGAGGTGGAAAATTTCCCCTGGGCCAGGCTGATTGAAATATTCCCCTCTGTAGACTCAGACAGAATTCTCCTCTGTGTTCTGTGACAGGATGGACCTGAATTCCAATGCAAAGTCCCGCAGTTACTTTACTCTCTCTCCCCTAGGCATTGATTCATTCTTGTCATGGTGGCATGGAGGCATGGCATTGTGTGGTGGTGGTTGGAGGGGTAGTATAGGCAATGTAAGACTGTATTTTCTGCCGCCTTCTGTGCCTCTTCCCTTGACACAATGTTAAAACCAGTTACAGTGATTGCTCACCTGATTTTTGGTTCTTCTGAAGGTTGGGTCTTCTGAAGGTGCCTACTTACTTGGATAGTGGTTGAAATTCATATTCATGTGGAGGGTCAATCACTAGTTGTGTAGTTTTTTTTTTTACATTCTCTATACATGTACACGTGTTTACTTGGTTTCCACTTTTTGCCTTCGCAAAATTAAAGAGGCATAAAACTTAATAACAATGTTTAAGAGGACTAGAAACAAAAACCTCATAAAAAAGGAATGACAATAAATACATTCACAAAAGAAATCATATGATTGCTGCAACTAAATATTGAGCAATAAGAAGAATAATGCAAAAAAGTAACATTCACATTGTCAGATAAAGGTATGTCTATTATAGAATGCTTTGACTCTGAAGTTCAGTATGGAGTCATCAGTTAACTTCTTAGTTGTGTAGTTTTTAACTTGTGTAGTTTCTTTTTTTAAAAATAGTTTATCCCATTAATTAATTAATTAATTTATTTTTGATGTTTTTGGCCCAGGCTGGGTTTGATCTCACCACCTTTAGCATGTGGAGCTGGCGCCCTGCTCCTTTGAGCCACTGGTGCCCCCCAGTTGTGTAGTTTCTGTTGTGTAGTTTTTAAGTTGCCCAATAATTAAATCACTGTGTCTGTGTAATGATCTGTTGGATTATATTCCAAGGGCTATACAATTGGAATGAATTAGGTTGATTATATTCCAAGGGCTGTATAATTGGAATGAGTTAGGTAATTAGGAATTACCAATCTTCCCATGTTTATTTTTGTGATAAAGCAAACATGTCTCTTATCCTTGAGTGGTAGTGTTTTTAAGGGAGGCTATGGAGTGCGGCGAATTTCCTAGATGACAGATTAGAGCCCTTCCTGTATACACAGATATATTTAGGGGAGGCTGCCCGAGTTTTCAGATTATTTTAGTGTCGTATTTTTACTTAAATGCTAATATAAAAATTTAACAAAAACATTCTGCACCATATGTACTGATACTTTATATTTATGATTAGAACTGTTTCCTAATTGTTTTCCCTTCTTATTGGTACCAAGAGTTTTAGTTGTTATAAGCTAATAAGCAGACAGCACTCCTACAAAGAAGTCACTGGTTTCCCTATTTATGAGCAACCAGAGAGAGATTAACCTGGCCAACATCAAATAACTTGCATATACAGAGTTGAGATTGTACCTAAATAGATGTTAAAACTTATGCTCTTAATTTTTAAGCTGTACATTCTGGTTATAAGATGAGGCTTTTTTTAAAAAAAAATCTTTCTAGGATTCCATTTCATCATCTATAAAATGGAAATGATATGTATACTTCAAGGTTGCTCATGAGTATTGAAAAAGAAAATTTATGTGTAATGCTTAGCACAGCAGCATATAGTAGATGCTTAATAAATGTTAGCATTGTGGCTGTAATTGTCATCACTATCATTACGACTATTAAAAAGATTATTATTTGAAGGTATATTTTCTGCTTTTTCCAGTATTTGTTATTTATAGCCTAATTTGAGATCTGGTCTGGTTTTTTAAGCCCAGGGTCTGTAGGCTCATAGACATATAGGAAATAGTTGGAACATGTTTACTATGTAAATTATAACTATATTTTTCTTTTTAAAAAGATGTTTGGTGACATTCATATCTAATTAATAACAGAATAAATACTATTGTACTGGTTGTTAGTATTTAATCTGTGTGACTACAGAAGTCTTCAGTGATAGTAGGGAGGTTTGGTGTAGCACTTTGTGGTTATACTGTAGAACCTATTTTCCCACAGGCTTTTGCTATACACCAGCTCTGGAGCCAAATTTCCTGGGTTCAGACCCTTTTTCTGTGTCTTACTGGCTTTATCATGAAACTTGTTAAGAGGCTAGCTACCTAGCATACAGGTATTTGGTGAATTTCAACTAATATTATTATTGTTATTGTGGGAGGGAATAATAGAGTGATTCAAATCTGGGGGAGTTACCTTTAGAAAGTGATGGGAATGAACGTGCAGGTAAAGTCTTTTATTTTCAGTAAAACATATATAAAAATATAGATACAAAAAATAAAAAATTCTTTGATTTTATAAATAATAATGACAGTTATGTCTCTGATTGTTAACCAGTGGATGTTATCACAGGGCTCACTTTTTTTTTTATGTTTTAGGTTGGGTTTTTTGTGAAGAGAGGATGTTCCAAAGGCATGGTTGAAATTGAATTGTAAGTGTTAAAAGTACAGTAACCCCCTTTTCCTGTATAATTTCTTAGTTTATATTCATGTTTTCCTGGTGATTCTAGAAAAGAGTATCAATAGAGGATTATGGCATAAATACTGGAAATAATGTTTAAAGAGTATCCAGATAAGTACATTTTTTAATGTATTTTTAAAAAACCTTTAATGTTAAGAATTTTATTTTGGAAAAATTTTCAAGGAAACTAAAAGTTTATTGGGAGTAATAAAATAGAACTATATTACCATTAAATATTCATTAATAAGCAGGAATGTTTTTCTTAAGTTTAAAATATCTGTTTTTTTTCTGATCTTGAAAGTAATGCTTGTTTTCAAAAAATGCAAACAATTTAGGAGCATGTAAAGTAGAAAATAATTCTTTTAGAAATAACCACTGTTAAAAGTTTGGTGAACCTCACGGATGAATAGATACTTGGTATTTCCATTACCATTTTTTATTACTATTTCCTGCTTTATGATCCCAGTAATTCATCATGGTATTCTTTTAACATTGAGCATGGATATTCTCAATTGACTGCTTTTGGCAGAGTTGATATTTATGATGAAATCATTTGACCATCCTCAGTGTATTTACTTTTAGACTTTTATACATAAATATGCACATTGCTTAGATGATTTTTACAGACTGTTGTTTTTGGAGTAATTGTGGAAAATTGTGGCATATTTGAGGTGAAAAGCTCTTAAAGATTATCTGATTGCCCTGTCATTTTATAGGATATGAGAAAATGATCTTTCACTTAAAATTATTGGAAAATTTTTTAGTTATATGAAGGTAAAAAATAGACACATGGAAGTAGAAAGAAAATAAATAAAAAAGATGAGAGGAGCAAGATAAAAAAACTAGGAGCAGATCTAAATGTGAGAATTTAATTTATTGTGAAAGTGACAGTTTGATTAATCATGGAGTATCATAAGAGATAGGGCAACCAAACTGTTTTTGCTGCTCTCAAACCAAGCACTACATAGAACACTTGTGATACTAGATACCACTGTGGATTTTTTTCCCCAACATCCTGTAATTCATTTCTATTCTGACATTAGAGTTATTGCAGAGCCCACATATTATGGGCTTATCCCACATGACTGCCCCGACTTCAGATGCCATTTGCCAGTCTCAGGTTGTAACTTGTACTTTTGACCAACTAGCTGTGAATGAGGGTTCCCAGGAAGTTGCTTCCTTGACATTGACTATTTGCTAGGGTGGCTCATAAAACTCAGAGAAACACTTAGTTTACCCATTTATTATATTAGTTTTCCTATATATTATAAAGGAACCTGCAGAAGATACAGATGAATAGTCAACATATAGAGCATGATTTGGAAGGGTCTGAATGCAGGAGCCTCTGTCCTTATGGAGTTTGGAGTGTGTCACTCTTGGCATATGAATGTGACCCCCAACTTAGGAGCTCTCCAAGCCCTATAGTTCAGGGATTTTTGTGGAGGCTTCATCATGTGATGGACATGATTGATTACTAACTCAGTCACCTCTCTAGTTCCCAGAGGAGAGAATTGGGTGGGCTGAAAGTTCTAAGCTTCTAATCATTCCTTTGTCTTTTCAGTGACCAGCCTCCATCCAGGAGCCTATCAAGCAAGAGTTGCCTTATTAGAATAAAACCTTCCTTTCATGCAGGAAATTCCAAGGGATTAGGAGTTCTGTGTCTGGAACTTGGAGGAGAAACTAAATATTTAATTCTTTTTTAATTGAATTGTCCTTACCAAAGTGCTTAGGACCAAAACTATTTTGGATTTTGGAATATTGTATTATACTTACAGGTTTAGCATCCCTTATCCCAAGATTCAAAATCTGAAAAGTTCCATTGACCATTTCTGTTGAGCATCATCATGTTGGCTTTCAAGAAGTTTTGGATATTGGAAGTTTTGGATTTTTGTATTAGGGATACTCTACCACATGTCATGCAATCACAGGTGTAAATTACTACAATTGAATTGAGACAGTTGGCTGTTAATTTTTTAGAAAGGATAAATTTAGCACTTTTAACACCATATACTTAAATAAAATTTACATGTATTGAAGGCCAAGTGAAAAAGTATGTAACTTTGGAAATAATAGGGAAAAATGTAGAATATTTTTAAAATCTTGGGAATGAGATAGGCCTTTCTAAGCAGAATGAAAGTATAAATAAACTTAAAACGTAAGAGAAAATTCAGATACCACAGATTCAGCTAAAAACAGTGATAACCTAGTTAAAATACATGACAGACAAAACATTTTCAGCACAAAAAAATATTCGACTCTTAAATTAGCAAAATACCAGTTTTTCTTGTAAATCAGTAAAAATTATAAACCAGGCGTCCTTAAATGGATCTGTGGGCCACATGCAGCCTGCCAAGGACATTTATCTGGCCCGCCAGGTGTTTTTGCCGCCGCTGCCTGTCGTGCTTAGCAGCTGACTTGTCCTGGGGCCTGCAGTCTGGCCCTCCACAGGTCTGAGGGGCAGTGAACTGGCCCCCTGTTTAAAAAGTTTGAGGACCCCTGTTATAAACAACCTAATAGAAAAATGAGCTAGGAAATATAATGCAGAAATAAAGTAATTGGCTGGAAAAGTACAAAATAGAGAGTTTTGCCTTACTAATTGTCACGAAAATAAAGATAATTAGGGTTTTTACCCTCTCAGTTAAAAATAAAAAAATAAAATTCAGTAATATGAAAACTTAAGGACATGCACTGCTCATGGAAGTGTTATCAGTATATTCTCTTTGGCAGTATCTATCAATATTTAGAATACACATACTCTGTTACTCATTTATTCTGTTTAACAGGTAGGTATTATAGGGAATGTTCACCTGTTAACACAAAATGACCTTTCCCTGATTTTAATAGTTAAAAATTATAAACAGTCCAAATGTCCATCAATTGATGAATGCTAAATAAAAATGTGGCATATCTGTACAATGCCGTTATTCAACAATAAAGAGGAATGAAATATTGATACATGCTGCAGTATGGATCAACCTTGAAAATGTTGTGTGTACCCTATGATTGCATTAATGTACACAGCTATGATTTAATAAAAAAAAAAAAAAAAAAAGAAAAGGTTGTGTGCTCAGAAAAAGAAGCCAGACACAAAAGACCACATTGTATGATTCTATTTATATGAAATGTCCAAAATAGGCAAATCCATAGACACAAATGCTGGATTAGTGGGTGGGCATGAGAGGAAGAAGGGATGTAGGATGACTGCTTAATGGGTATCGTAAGGGGTTTGGAGGGAGTGGAGGGTGAAATTAGATAATGGTTGCATAGCTTTACGAATATAGTAAAAACCGTTGTTAAACTGTATGGCTGAAAATGGTTAAAATGATAAACTCTATGTTAATGTGTATTTTACCACAATAAAAAAATTGAATTGTATACTTTAAAATAGTGAGTCATATAATGTGGGAATTATATGTCAGTTTTTAAAAAGCAATTATCAAGGATACTCTTGGATAAGACTTGGTACCACTGAACAATGGCTTCTCACATGTTGAAAACTGAAAGAAGTATACTAAGTTGGGTATGTTTATAAAAGATAAAGGGAGTATAAGCATTTAAATTTTAAAAGTCCAGTATGGACAGTTCCAGGTCTTAAGCACTCCTGACTTCTACTCTCAGTTGCCAAGGCCCAAGTTGTTTCCTTAGTTATATAAAGAGTAAAACTACTTGCTGTGTAGTAGCTGTTGGCTCTAATAACGAGAGCTCTTTTTACCAAATCAGGCAAAGAGGGAGGTTTCCTTTCCCCAAACTCAAGTGGTTACGTTATAGTCACCTGTTTGTTCTGCTAGGGTCCATGTGGCCTTGAGAGTACCAAAAGTAAGACTATTTATCACTAGTTGTTAAATTATAATTGGCGTTAAACAGATGTATTTACTGATTAACTGGCCTCTACTTATTGGGTGGAATGGTGGCTAGAATAATCTCAAGCATGTAGTCATTTTTCAAATATTTATTGGGTACCTATACATTGGAAATATATCACTCTGCCCTCATGGGATTTATAGTTAGCAGTATGATGAGAGACCAGTAAATAAGTAAAATACATATTTTATTAGGTGGTGATAAGTGCTATGTAGAAAAATAAAGCAGCAAAGGGGGATCGTAGTGCTAGAGAGGATTTTTATATTTATTTTTTTAATAGGGTTATCAGGAAAGTTCTCACTGAGAACATAGCATTTGAGCCAATCTCAAATTGACCTAGAGGAGAGAAGATAATCAGCATGGACGTACTTTGTGGGGGAAGAACATTTCAGGTAGCAGGATCTGCAAATTCTAAGGCCCGAAGTGGTACTCAGTGTGACTGGATGACGTTGAAGAAGAAGGGAGAATAGGGAGAATAGTAAAAGATAGGGTGTGAAAATAACAGCTCCTAAAGCCTATAACTAGTGTTAGGAGTTGGCAATTATGTTACATAAAATGTGAAATCACCAGGTTTTGGAGCAGAGGAATGATAATGTTGATCTAACTTAATTTTTTATTAGACTGTTTGGGTTGTTATATGGAAAATAGGAAAGGCAGAAGCAAGAATATCTGTGACTAATATAACAATCCTATGAGAAATGCAGCTTATGATTTGCTCATGAATTAGATACCAGTTGTGGCAGAAGGGGAAAGGGATCAAGAAGGACACCAAAGTATGTGGCATGCTTAAGGGTAGAGTTTCCATTTAACTGAGGTACAGAAAGTTGCTACCGGACATTTGGGAAGTAAGATCAGAAATTTGTTTGGAGTAGATCATATTTCATTGAACTAAGGTGCCACCATTTGTAAGATGGCAGCTTCCAATTAAACTGGCACAATGAACAGTAATGTTGAAAAGCTTAGAGAAGCTTAGTAGAAAATGCAGCTGTTGTATTCACACAAGAATGGGATTATAGACAGAGTGTCAGCACACTAAGATTGAATCGGATTTGAGTTGTTTATTGCTGGTGGTGGAAAGAAGGCCCCTGCCTGAAGAACTCTTGACCCCGAGGTTAGGTTTTTGGGGGTTTTAGTTTCTTTTTAGCTGAGAAGGGTTCGGGGGAGCGAAGTGGAATTTTCCAAAAGCAGAATTTTGCACGGTTAACAGGAAGGAGGTTTATGCTCTTTCTGGTGTTTCGGCCATTTTTGTCCCTCAGATGTTCTGCAGCACAGGATGTGGTTTGATGTGCACCGGGCAAGCAGGGGAATGGAGTGTGGTGCAAGTTAGGAACCTGTCACAAAATGGAGTTACCAAAATAGAGTTAGTCTGGCCTTTTAGGCACCTTATAACATTCAGGTAGAAATGTTGAATGGGCAGTTAGATTTATAAACCTGTCATTCAGGGAGAAATTTGGGCTAGAGATAACTGGGAAGTTTTCAGTATTATGATGGATGAAATCACCAATGAAGAGATTTAAGAATTACACTCTGATGCACTGTAGCATTCAGAGATTAAACGTAGGAAAGGAAACAGAATTGGCTAGAGAGTCAGAAGAATACAGAACCTGGAAACCATTGCTTCAGGTGACTTGAGGAGGAGGGAATTGTTCATCACCTGTCTTACACTGCTGGTAGGTCGAGTAAACTGAGGACCAAGAATTCATAATTAGATTTAGTTTGTCATTGGCCTTGACAAGGTTTGGGAGAGGTAGTGCTTTTTAAAATTTCTATTAAGTGTTTCTGAACAAAGAAGTGAATGATAAAGAGTAAATCATAAGAAGATCTAGGAGTATATTCTAGTCAGAGAGACCAGTTTGTTCAAAAGATCTAAAATGGAATTAAGTTTGTTGTTTCTGGGTAACAGAGAATGACAGTGTGGTTGGAGTAAAATGAGTTGTTTGCTGTTGGACTTTAGAGAATATATTTGCTTGAAGATACTTCCTTCTGTTCCTGATTTGATGTGCTCTTAATTGTGAATAGCTAATGATTTTATTAGCATATATTAAGTTGATCTTATCATTTTCGGTTATTGAATTATTTCCTTCTGTTTGCTCAATTTTGCATTCTTAAACACCATATGGTCATAATTTTTTTTTTTTTTTGGTGAATTTCTAGATTTGAATTTATAGATGTACATCTATATTTTGTGAAAGATGTTTATGGCTTGAGTGTTTGGTTAATCTTACTGGCCTAACTACTGATTTAATTTTTTTCCTCTCTAACTACTGATTTAACTTAATTAGTAGGAACAGGATTATTTATATTCTGTTTCTTCTTGTATTATGTGGTTATTTATCTTCTTAAAGGATTTCCTGGTTTGGGTGCCTGTAGCACAATGGTTATAGTGCCAGCCACACATACCGAGCCTAGTGGGTTCAAAACCAGCCTGGGCCAGCTGAACAACAATGACAACTGCAACAAAAATAACCAGGTGCTGTGGTGTGCACCTATAGTCCCAGCTCCTTGTGAGGCTGAGGCAAGAGAATCGCTTAAGTCCAAGAGTTTGAGGTTGCTTTGAGCTGTGATGCCACAGCACTCTACTGAGGGCGACATAATGAAACTGTCTCCAAAAAAAAAAAAAAAAAGGATTTCCCATTCTTCTTAGTTTCACATTTAATTGACGTGAATAATACTCTCTTATGAGTTTATTATGTATGAATATTATCTTACATATAACATACTTGTCATCTGTAGTTGTATGGTGTATTCCCCCATTATTCACTTCTTTTTTCCCCTAGATTTGAAAACAACTAATTTGTCAATTCTGTTAGTCTTTTTTAGTGAACTATTTTGCATCATTGTTTTGTTTTATATCACTGTTTACTATTTCATTAATTTCTATTTTTATTGATTTCTTTTTCAAACTTTTCTTTCAGTTTTCTTTTGTTCTTCATTTAATTTCCTGAAATGGATGTTTATTGTATTAATTTTCAGTTTTTTGTTTTCCTTAATATTTTAATAAATATAACAGGAAAGGTTAAAAATTACTCTCTTAGTATTGCTTTAGCTCCACCTTCCAGATTTTGGTGTACAGTATTTTCTTTTTGAGACAATTGCTCCATCACACTGGCTAGAGTATGTAGTGTCTTTATAGCTCCTTTGGCCTCAAACTCCTGGGCTAAAGAAGTTGTGCCTCATCCTCCTAAGTAGCTGGGATTACGAGCCCATGCCACCATGTCCAGCTACGTTTTTCTATTTTTAATAGAGATGGAGTCTCACTTTGCTCAGGTTGGTCCTGAACTCCTGACCTCAAACAATTCTCCAACCTGGGCTTCCCAGAGTGCTAGGATTTCAGGCGTGGGCTCCAATGCCCAGCCTCACAGTTTTCTTGTACAATATTTTTAGTATTAATTTCCACTTGTGATTATAGTACAGTGACGTATATAGATGTTTTTATGTTACCAATCCTTTGAAATTTGTTGAGGTTCACTTTTTATAGTTGGCTTTTATCATTGTTCTTCATTTGGCTGAAAGAATGAGTATTCTGTTAATACTCTCAGTGTTTGTATTTGTCCATTAGTTCAAGTTTATTAATGTTAAATCATCTAAATTTTTGCTGACTTCAGTTGTCAGATTGATTCCTTAATAACTGACAAGTGTATATATAGAACACCATTCCTTTTTGTCAGGTGCCCTTGCCCTGTCAATTTTTGCTTTGTATATTTCTGGGACTTTATTAGTTGTAGCTAAGATTCAAATTGTTAATCTTCCTGGTGAATTTGAACTTTTCATTTTTAAGGTACTTCTATCTTTTGATGTTTCTAACCTTAAAATCTATTTAATTTGCCATTGTTGTAGTTAGCACCTTTTAAAAAAGTATTTTCTTGGTTATCTTTTCTCATTCTTTTTTTTTTTTTTTTTTAGTTTTTTTGTGCCTCTTTTAAACAAATATAGCTGGTGTTTTTTTCCTGTAATTTTTTAAATAAAAGTGTATGATTCACTTAAAAATATTTTGGTTATTTAATATGCTTGAATTTACTTTTACCATCTCATTTCTTTGCTTTTTATTTTTCCCACTATTCAGCATTTTCTTTCTTTTATTGGATTTTTGTGTGTTTCAGTTTTTGTTGTTTTGGAAATTATGCATTCTTCTTTTGTTTTAATGGTTACAAGAGTTTTAAACATAAATTCTAGAGTTAATATCTTTATCTTCCCCTTGAATAAAAGACCTTAGAGTACTTTGTTCTTAATGTTTTCTTTAAACATCCTTTTTAAATTCTCTTGTTTAAATTCCTCAAGCCATATAACTTCAGTGTTTGTTTCAAATTACCCTGTATATTTCTGTTTATCTTACTTTTCATACCTTCTTGCATTTCTGATCTTCCCTCTTGGAACACTGTCTTTCTGCTAGAAGGATTATTCTTTAAAGTTTCCTTTAATTGGGGTTTTCTATTGGAACACTCACTTTTTATCTGAAAATGATGTTACTTTGCTCTAAATCTTGAAAGATGTGCTTTATAGACACAAAGTTCTACATTAACAGGTCTTTTCTCAGCATTTTTATTTATTTCCCTGGGTATATAATAAGCTTCTTTAATCTGTGGTTTCCGAGTTTGGGAAGGTTCTTATCCTTTTATCTTCAAATATTACCACTGACCCATTTTCTCTCTTGTTCTTCTAGAATTCATGTAGACATATTGGGCTTTCAGTTCTCTGTGCCTCTTTCGCATTTTTCATCTTTATGTTTCTGCTGTTATTTGTATTTGTTCTCAAGGCTTTGTTTTCTGTGTGTGTATATGTGTGTGTGTGTGTGTGTTTGTTTCCACTAAGCTGCTCCTTTCTTGAACTTTATCTGAGCCAAATCTTTGAAGATAAGGTAAATTCCTACGGAGGGAATTGTAATTAACATCTATCTGAGACCACTGAATACTTTCAATTCAGGGTCACAATACTAGTGATTTTCAGTTTGTGGTGATAACGATGACATATTTCTTAGTTTATCCTTACATTGAGTGGATAGCCCAGGGGTGTGGTTTTCTATTAGACTGTCTCCACTGGATAGCTGTGGAAGCTATCTTTGTCGTCCACCAGCAGGTGATGAAAATGAATCCGCAAGGTCATCTGATTGGACAAATGCCCTTAAGGTGAAAGCCTGTGTCATTTTTCCGTTCTGAGTTCCCACATGCACTAGGATTTTGGCCAGAATTCCTTTCATGGTAACTTATAAATTAATTTCTGAAGATAAACATTTAAAATTTTTAGTTGTTTAAGGCAGGAAGATCAATAAGGGTACTTTATTTTTCATTCTGCTGAAACTGAAAGTTTAAAACTTCTTCTTTTAAAGTCATAAAAGCTTACTGTGTTTGAAGTATTTCGATTACAATATAATGTGTATATACAACATTTACAAATTATTGTTATTTAGTGATTGGATACCAGTAATTTATCTTTCTACCACATGCTGCTGATTGCCAGTGAAGAAGATGGATGAATAGATGGGAGGTGTGGAGCAGTAGTACTTCTAAAAGCAAGAAATAAGTAAATACCTTTCTTTCAGCTTCTGTATTGCTTAATTCCTTCATATCCATGTGATGTAGTTCCCTCTGAATTCAGAGTGGTTGGAGTACATGGTGAGAACTGCCGTGGGCTACCAGTCAAATTGGCTAGTTTTGATTTCTGGAAATGCTTGTATAAGAATTAATTTTTGTTTATACATTTTCCTAGTGGGAGTTTCAAGGTTTTAAACTGTCATATGCTTTAATCCCATTTTGACTTGCAGTCAACACATGTGCTTGAAGAATAGCATAATAATTAAAAGATAAGTAACTCCAGATATGCAACTCAACTTGTAGTGCTTGGAAATTAGTCTGGGCATTTGCTTTAATTTTATTTTAATAGTTTAAATAATTTTGAATGTTGAGTAAGTAGTACTTGACAAGTGGTCAATTAAGGTGTTGTTATTAATAAAATCCCCTTAGGGGCCAAAATACCAAAAGGAATAAAAATTATTATAATAATTGTATTGGGCATATTCAGTGCAAGAGAATTTTTAATGTTTATTTATGAACTAAAGTATTTGGAATATAAAGATTTTTTAAATTATTTTTTAATTAGATTCAGGGCTTCTGGAAATCTCATAATCACCCGTGAGATTGATGTGGCAAAAAATCAGTCATTTTGGTTCATCAATAAAAAATCTACAACCCAGAAAGTAGTGGAAGAGCAAGTTGCAGCCTTAAATATTCAAGTGGGCAATCTCTGCCAGTTTCTACCTCAGGTATGAAAGAAAGAAATATAAAGCTGTAAAAATGTTATTCATAGTGTTTCATTTTGTATACCCTCTGAATGTAAATGCTTTTCAAGGAATATTGTAATGGCTACTATTTAAATTGAACATAGCTCTCCTGTTTCTTTTTGTGTTGTTTTGTTTTTGTTTCTTTTTTTTGCTTTGTTTTTGTTTTTGAGACGACCACTATTACCTAGACAGGAGTGCAAAGGCTGATTATATCTCACTACAATCTCGAACTCCTGGGCTTAAGTGATCTTCCTGCCTCAGCCTCCTAAGTAGCCAGGAGTATAAGTGTGCACCATCATGCCTGGCTAATTTTTTTTTTTATTTTTATAGAGACGGGGTCACACTATGTTGCCCAGGCTGGTCTTGAACTCCTAGCTTCAAGCAATCCTCCCGCCTTGGTCTCCCAAAGTGCTGGGATTACAGGCATGAGCCAGAGCCACCACACTCAACTGTGCATTCTTATTACTTACTAACAGTTCTTTGTAAAAGGTAGCATCTCATCACTTTGGTATATTATTAATTTGTAGTAATTTAGAAAATTTCAATTAAAAAAAGCCTATTTTGCAGAGAAGTTTGAAAGAAAAATAAAGAATAGCTTGCGCTTTCATTTGTAGATCCTTTAAATTTTGTTAACACACCGTTTTTTTAGCCAGTGTATTTGTATAGATATTTGATGCATAAAACTCCTATATCTATAGGTATGCCTTCTAACATCTTAACATTTTAAATTTATTAGAAATAAAAAATCTTGACAATGTATGGTAAATGTACCTTTTAAATTTGGCTTTCAGTTCTGTCTAATGACTGAATTATAGTTCTTTTTTTCCTTTGGAAACACAATAATGATTTATGTCCAAATTAAATAAAAATTTTAAAGTTTCTGTGTTTCATCAGCTAATGTCAGATTATCTCCAGAAGAAAATATTTGAAATTACCCTTATTTTTTGGAGACAGAGTCTCACTTTTTTCCCCCAATAGAGAGTTGTGGCATCATAGCTCATAGCAACCTCCGACTCTTGGGCATAGCTGGGACTACAAGGCGCCCACCACAATGCCTGGCTATTTTTTTTAGAGATGGGGGTCTCGCTGTTACTTAGGCTGGTCTTGAACTCGTGAGCTCAGGCGATCCGCCTGCCTCGCCTCCCAGAATGCTGGGATTATAGGCATGAGCCACTGTGCCTCTTTTTTAAACCTTAGAACATTCCAACTGGTATGTGATAGTGATCATTTCAATTGAGGGGACTAAGTTTTTCTTTTACTCCTAAACTTTTGATTATATGAATATAGACATTTCAACCTGGAAATACTGATGTTGAAATTGTTTAAAGGTTATCAAAAAGGTGACAATTTCTACCTTAAGTTTGTCTTTAATATTTTAAAGAATAATAATATGTAGTAAGTATATGTGTATATGTGTGTGGTTTATATGAAGATTTAGATTTCAAAGTTTTTTTAGAAAATAAACTTCCATCTTGACAGGTATAACCTTTGAGTAAAGTACATTTTGAGAATATATTTTATAACTGATAGTTGTTGCTGATATTAATTTTGTACTCTAGGACAAAGTGGGAGAATTTGCAAAACTCAGTAAAATTGAGCTCCTTGAAGCTACTGAGAAGTCAGTTGGTCCTCCGGAAATGCATAGATATCACTGTGAACTCAAAAACTACAGGGAGAAAGAAAAGCAACTAGAGGTATTTATAAATAGACAACTCATTTGTTTCTTATTGATTTCTATGTCTCAAAATGTGGGAGAGTGAGTAGTAGTTCTTACTCATTGAGTTAATACATACTTGTGATTTTTTTCCACCCAGGATTGTACCACTAATGTCAGTTAAAGTGAGAATGGATTTATTACTGTAAAGATTGAAAAATTTGACAGTTTTAGCACATACATTTAATTGAATTTTTAAGGAACCAATAACAGTATTATTTTCATTCAGGTTCAGAGAACACCTACTATATAACAGGTACCATGTAAAGCTTTGGGTAATACAACAGATACATGTAGCATTTAATGTGGCTTTTAATATAGCATTTCTGTTGAACCAGTTCTTGCCTATGTTTTTTTCAGTCATATGAGGATGGGCTTTGTAAGAGAACTGTATGTTGCAGTGTTAAATTTGTTATTTTTACCTTTAATAAACATAAACAAAAAATATCCTGTTGTAGCATACTGTTTATAAAGGTCTTTTTATTTCATGGGCCTTCTTCCACAATCCAGCAACCAAAATAAACCGTAAATTTTCATAAGAAATCTTGTAAACAAATATTTTCTCTTAAAATGTATACTGTCTATATTTGACAACATACATTTTATTGTAATTAATTGTCATTTTTATTATTATAGTTATTCAGTGTGAATGACCAAAGTAATTTGAAATTGCCTCTTTTTTGAGACAGCCTCATCTGTGGCATCATAGCTACAGCACTTTACTTTTACTTCACTTTTATAGCATTCTACTTTTTTTACTTTGTTGAGATAGGGTCTCACTCTGTCACCTGGGCTAGAGTACAGAGGCATTATTGTAGGCACTACAACCTCAGGCTCTTGGACTCAGGCAGTCCTGCCTCAGCCTTCTAGGTAGCTAGGACAACAGGCTTGTGCCACCATGCTCACCTAATTTTTTTGTAGAGACAAGGTCTCACTCTTACTCAGGGTGGTCTTGAACTCCTGGCCTCAAGTGATCCTTGTGTCTCAGCCTCCCAAAGTACTAGGATTATAGATGTGAGCCACCACACCTGGCCTGTGTTGAGCTTTTTATAATTATTTTATCCTACTTCAGATATTCTCTTCAGTCCTATTATCATTCCTACATCAGACAATCTAATACTCGCACCTGAAATCCTCACCTATACTACCTGTCATCCTCTGGGGGAAGAAAACAAAACAAGAATATACAAGTATTCTACTGGGTTCAGAATAAATCTTTATTATTTATTAATTTGCGATATAAAGATTGGATTTCAGTTTGCTTCTTATTTCTAAGACCTTTAAGTCACAAGTGTTTATAACATACTAATCATGATACTACTACTTTTCATTTACATATCACTTTTACAGCTTTATTGAGTTTTCACCTGTATTAAGTGAATTGGTTCTATCCTTGAGGTGGATGGAGCAAACGTCTCTCTTATCTTTAGACAAAAAGAGTCCAGGCCCAGAGATGTGGCAGGACTTCCTCTCAGACACATGACTAATAAATTGTAGAGCCTAGACCAGAACTTAGGTATGAACATTAACTTATACACAATTCTTAACAACCCCTATAGAATTTTTGTGAAATTTTGCTAGCATTGTTTGTTTTGCATTGTTAAAAGATTTGATCTGTTGCCTTTTTCAGTTAAACTAATTGTTCAACTAATATTTTTTCTAGACCTCATGCAAAGAGAAAACTGAGTATCTAGAGAAAATGGTTCAGAGAAATGAAAGGTACAAACAAGATGTGGAGAGATTCTATGAACGTAAGCGACATTTAGATTTAATTGAGATGCTTGAAGCAAAAAGGCCATGGGTGGTAAGTCTTAATTATTAGAGGCAAAAATAGGTGATTTCTTTAAGTAGTAGAAGAGTGCACTAATTTCTGTGTATTCAAATTAGGTGCTGATTTTTCATTTTTTGCTTTATATATTATAAAATTTTTTGTCTTTTATTATATAGCTGTGTTTGCTATTGTATAACAAATAATGATTATCAGTGCTATTAATTCTTCCATATCTTGGTCTTCAGTATAGTTCTTTATTGTATTCTAAAATGTTACTGATCTAAAATTATTTACACATGTAAAAATTAAATTTTTAAGTATCCTCAGTCAAATCGCTAAGAATTTACCTGGAATGTGTCACTCATAGTAGCTGATCTATTTTATCTGTAGTCTTCCACTTTTAAGTTTCATAGTTTTCCTGAGGTTGGTATATATCTCTGTGATGTATATTTTATTTAGGACCACAGTTTAGGTTAAAAATTCAGTTCCTACAGTGCATTGCTTTGTAATAGGTAGAACAAAATATGTAAGAAAGTTTTGAGGTGTTTTTTCCAAAGTTAGAATGGAAATAGTTGTTACAAGATTTGGAAAAATATGTTGACTATATTTGTGGGATTTTTTTCACCACCACCTCTATTCTAACCTAGTCCATAATTTTATTCTTAAACTTTTTCCTTTCTTCAGCTTTTTTTTAAATTTCATTTTTCCTGTGTCCATTATTATTACTTCACCCTCTTTGTCTTTCGACATCTTTTCGTTTTCTGTTTCAAAAGATTGCCTTTATTGTTTTTCACTTTTCTTTTTTTTAAATTAATTCTTACATTTATTTATGTTTTTTTCTTTTCTTAACCTTTCTTCCTCCCATTCACTCATGAGTTGTCTTAATGTTCCCTTTATTTTTGTTTAGCAGATACTTATTAATTCCTGTGACATGAAAGGATCACTTTTATCTAGTGAGCCATATACTATTGATTTTCCCTTTGACCTATTAACCATTTGTTCTGGGTTTTTTTTTTTTTTTCATTTTTACCTGTAATAACTGAGTTGCTTCTTCATACATCCTTGTATCCCTTTTTATTGAGAGATTAACAGTCATTAGGATGTAGTTTCAGAAACAGGAAAGGATAGAAATCAGTCTAGCCTGGTGATAGAAATCAATGCTCAGTAAATATCAAGACTCTTAATAATTTATATTAGTATTTACTATTTTAGAAGTTTTTTTCAGAGCACAAATTTTACATTAATATACCTGCCAAAGGGATATCAAAACGGTCTTTTTTTAGATTGGGTTTGTATCTGTACCTTGGTTTTGGTATGTATGTTAACTTAAGCTAATAGTTCATTAACTTCTTCAATTATTTGCAAGGAATATGAAAATGTTCGTCAGGAATATGAAGAAGTAAAACTAGCTCGAGACCGAGCGAAGGAAGAGGTGAGAAAACTTAAGGAAGGGCAAATTCCTATGACTCGTCGAATTGAAGAAATTGAAGACCAGCGTCACAGTTTGGAGGCTCAAATAAAAGAAAAGGTACTTTGAGGGTTCAGTTTTGGACTATTCAAATCTTATTTTAGCAAATAAAAAAAAATACTTTGCAAGTTTTTCAAAATATTTTCTAGAGTTAACTTGTAGCTTTCATTCCTTCAGTTCTTTAACCAGGACTTTTACCACCTTAGGGCTTTCAGGGTTTTAATTGTTACGATTAGAAGATTGATACTATATAGAAATTCTAAGATAAAAAGGAAGAAAATGAGATTGTATTGTTTTAATTACAAGAGGATTTATAGTAGTATTCCTAGAAACAATGAAAAGAAACTCAGTTATATGTGCTTTGTAATTACACACCGTTTGAAGGAGGGCAATATAGGAAATATGTTTCGTAGGATAAGTAGTACAGTATAGGTATCCCAAAAGTTGCCATATACAGGGAAAATAGGAAAGTGTAGCTAAAAGTCCCTTTATTTATCAAGTATTTATTATACAATTTTACAAAGAGGTGAGCAACATGTGAAGAATATTTTGTGAATAATGAGACATTTAGGGTGGTGCCTGTGGCTCAAAAGGATAGGGCTCCAGCCCCATATGCCGGAGGTGGCAGGTTCATACCCAACCCTGGCCAAAAAAAAAAAAGACATTTAGCTACAACTTTCTATTTCCCTGTATGTGGTGACTTGGGGCAGTTTGGGGGACACCCTGTAGAATACCCTGTATTTGTATTTTGAAAGTATAACTTGACATTTTTTATGGTCATGGTTTTTAACTCTTAGGAGGATTTTGGAATCAGAGATCATTTTGAGAATGGTTTAACTTCATGCTTCCAGAATAACCCAAAATAAGCAAATCCAAAATTTGTTGTAGATGCACTGAAGTCAAGACATTGACCCCTACTTAAAAACCTCTGGCATAAATTGGTTAGTTAGCTCAAGTAAGTAGAATGCTTTGTAATTAGACTAGTGTGTGAAGGTTAATTTTGTGAATTCAGAAAACCATTTGTAATGTGTTTGGACTATAGGTAGTATATACTCCAGTGTTGGCTATTGTGCTTAAAGATAAGTATCAGTGTTCATAAAAGGAAGATTTCAACCTTGAACTATTACTGGAAGAAAATAGTGTAAAAGCATGATTTTCACTATTGAACAATTATTTCATAGATAGTACATTACAAATTTGGGAATGTTGTTTTCTTTATAGTCATCTTCTCTTTATTTTTAAAATTTTATATAAATTTGAACGTGCTGCTTCAGGTTCTGCACTACTAATTTTAAGATTGTCAGTTGATAAAGATCCATTCAGTATACAGTCTTGATTCATATAAGTTTTAACTTTTGTTTTTGAAAAAGCAATTATGTGGAGTTCTTTCATTTACAGATGCAATTGTGCTTTCTCTTCTTTAGCCAGTCTGTAAATTAGAAAAATAATTTCTTGAGCTAGCTGATACCAGACATTTACTTACTATGCATGTGGAGCAATGCTTGCTGAGCAGGAAAGGCCATATGTAGGAATATAAAGTCTGTAACAGAGCAGAGGAGTCTGTGGTTTACAATTTGCTACTGTCATGTCAGACACGCTCTACTATGTCTTAGTTCTAATGTGGATTAATGTGAATTGAAATTACAGGCTCATGTCTAGAAATAGTTTTTAAGAACACTTAAGGATTTTAAGACTTGATTTTAAAAGAGAATTACTATTGATTATTTTAAATTTTAGAGCAAAAAGGATTATTAGATACTAGTATAGACAAATGCCCCCATTTTAGTTACGGATACTGAATCCTAGAGGTAACATGACTTCCCGAAGATACAGAATAGTTGGCCATCCTTGTTATGTCAATGGTAGTTGGTTGTAGTTAGGTTGTGGATATGTGATTGCTTTTTTTTTTTCCCTCAATTTTCTGTTACTATAGAATTACTTCTATACATAAGTAGTGGGAAAAATGTAGATAATAAATTCCAAATCTCTTAATTAGAGAACATATTTAAAACCCTTTATTTTACTTGCCCGTTAGTAACAAAAGCCTGGCTATTGTCAAACATTGTCATTATCAGATATCCAAGAGCCTAACTTGTTTATTTGATAGTCATGTAGCCTAAGATATTTTAGAATTGTTTTTCTAAAGAAATGAACAATTGGGGTGGCGCCTGTGGCTCAAAGGAGTAGGGTGCTGATCCCATATGCCAGAGGTGGCGGGTTCAAACCCAGCCCTGGCCAAAAACTGCAAAAAAAAAAAAAATGTCGCCTGTGGCTCAAGTGGCTAAAGTGCCAGCCACATACACCTGAGGTGGCGGGTTCGAATCCAGCCTGGGCCCGCCAAACAATGATGGCTGCAACCAAAAAATAGCCGGGCATTGTGGAGGGTGCCTGTAGTCCCAGCTACTTGGGAGGCAGAGGCAGGAGAATCACTTGAGCCCAGGAATTGGAGGTTGCTATGAGTTGTGATGCCACAGCACTCTACCCAGGGTGACAGCTTGAGACTCTGTCTCAAAAAGAAAAAAAAATGAAATGAACGCTCCAGGATTCTGAAGTAGCGCATTATGTCAGTCTTTATTTTGTAAAAAGTATTAGCACCTACAGCTGTGCAACTGGAAGAAAATGGTTAATTTTGTTGAGTATTCGTGCTATTCTTGTTCCTTTTCCTTCTGTTCTAGAAGAAAAAGTTTTCTTACACTTGTAATTTTTTTTTTTTTTTAACATTTCATGGGGGTAATAAAGTCTTATGGGCAGGACATAGGCTTTAGATTGACACAGATCTTATTTGAAGTCCTCACTTTGCCATTTACTAAGTGCCTGAGCAAGTTAGTCTCACTGAGTTTTACTTTTCTCACTCAGGTGGAGACAGTAATACTAAATTTTATCTTATATGATTAACATGTATGATGTAAACATACATCAGTATTACTAGCGTCAGTACGTTAATTTTCCTATTTAGGAAGAAACTGTTAATACTTTCTCCTTAGCATTGGGAATCTATTGCTGTTTCAGTGATAATGCTAGGAGGACTCACAGCTAAGATTTATTACAAGGAAAGCATACAAAACAAGTCAGTAAAAGGAAAATGCATATAAGGGCAAAAGTCCTGGGGAAACCAAGCACAGGCTTCCTTCCAAAGGTCCTCTCCCAGTGAAGTCATGCAAACCGTGCTAAATTCTTCCATCATCAAATTGTGGCACAGCCTGCACAGTTAGAAGCACTAACTGGGGGAGCACAAAAGCAACTCAGCACTCATTGACAAATAAAGAGGATACAAGAAGGAAAGCAAGACTTTAGCTTCACTCACATTATTTGTATGAACAAGCACAATGAGCCACTCTTACCAATTACAAAGCGGTGGATACACTCCCAGAATGCATCTAGACAGTAGCTAAGAGCCAGCCTTGCAAGTAAGCCTTTTTGAGAGTAGTCTTCTTAGGCCTATAGTGTTAATTCTTTTCTGTAAGCCTTATTCTTCACTGTTTGGATTCTGTATTTTTATGTATTTTACATGTTTTATTTGTTAATGAAAAATCAAGGTGGTTATATACTAGATGATAGGAAAACCATGTATTTGAAATCAGACCTGATCTTGAATATTAGTCACCATTTTTTAGCTATGTACCTAGGTTACGTGGGCTTGTTTGAGCCTTATTTTCTTCATGTGTTTCTTCTGTCCTATCTTATAGGATTGTTTTTAGGATCAGATAAAATAATACAGGAAAATAAATGTGAAGAGATAAAGCATGTACATGCATATTGGTGAACTTACTTTTCAATATAAATAGGAATAGCCTTTTATAGATTTACAAATAAGTTGGTATTTTTGTGATAATTATGAATTTAGTTTGAAATATGAAAAATTGTTATGGGTTGCCTCACGTAACAGTATTGGAATGAGCAGGGCCATGTAATTGGCTTGCGTGAGTTTTCAACTAACTTCTTCCTCCCTCTCCTCTTAATTTTACAGGCAGCAGATATTAAGGAGACGTCTCAGAAATGCAAACAAAAGCAAGATGTTATAGAAAGGAAAGATAAACACGTAAGATTTCATACTGAAATTTTCATTATGTTAATTTGCCATAACTTGTTTTAAATATGGATCATGCAGTAAATTCTTATTTTCAGTTTATTAGTCTGTGAGGGAAACTAGAATTTGGAAGTTGTAGTAGTTGCACAGAGGACAAGAAATTCTTCAGAACTACTTTTCTGTGCATAACAGTCTTAAGTTCAGAGTCCCTAAGTTTTTTAATAGGTTAATGGTGTATTTAACTGTCTTTAATAGCAGAAATTAAATTCTGAGGGGTATATTCTGGTGTGTTTTTGTTTTTGTTACACCAAATAGATTTTTCATTTCAAGAAGTCAGCCATGACATTTATGTAGCAAAATGCATATATACCTTTACTCTTGATTAGGATTAGTAGGAGGATATATGCTTAAACTACCGAAGTTTTCATTTGATGATGTTGTTGAATTTTGATCTGCTTTGATGTAATCTCAGTTTACAGTTCTAATTTCTGGAAATGAAGATGGTTAAATTATAAACTTCAGCTTATTGCAGGCAGTTTTTTGTTAAGGAAATTTCTGTTTTAGTGAGTTTATACTTCAATGTAGCAAATTTTAAAACTTAAAGGAGGAGGACTTCTTGTTACAAAATGATGAACTTCAGAAAAATCTATGTGGTGAAAGATTGTCAAGGAGATTTTATGATGAACATGTCTTTGTGTCTGTTGCCTTTGATACTTCCTCAAGTTTATTTTGTACTCCTAAATTGAATTTTGGCATTCCTAAGACATTTATTAATTTCCAGGAAAATAATTTTTATTATGTAATTATTACTAATCCATAGTATCTTATTGTTTTTGATGTATGCAATACCTTCACAAATCTTCTTTCCATTTTCTTTTTTTGGGGGGAGTATTTCGTTTTACTTTGGTTTCTTGCTTTTTTTTTTTTTCAAATTCAGAATATTTTATTTACTGTAATGGCAGTGTATAAATCACTTACAATTCTAAAGTTTATTTTTTTATTAAATCATAGCTGTATACATTAATGCATTTATGGGGTATAATGTGCTGGCTTTATATACAATTTGGAATGCTTATGTCAAGCTGGTTAACATAGCCTTCACTTCACTTTCTTAATTATTGTGTTAAGACATTTATACTCTACACTTAATACATTTGACATGTACCCTTGCAAAATGCACCATAGGTGTAGGCTTGGGGCCTGTAGCTCAGCAGCTAGGGCACCAACCACATACACCAGAGCTGGTGGATTTGAATACAGCCTGAGCCTGCCAACCAACAATGAGAACTGGTTTCTTGCTTTCTTAATGGAGTGTTTGTCTGGGGATCTTTGGTGGTTTCATTATGGTTATCAGGCTGATTAAAAATTCTTTGTGCATGGATGAGCCTTATTGCAAAATTATTTTAGGATGACTAGGTAAAGGTTACTTAAAAGTTCTTAACTGTTTTAAATTTCTACAGGGACAGAATTTTTTAACTTTTTTTGAAATACAGAGTTCTAGTTATTTTATGGTCAATAAATGTGGCATTTATGACTCTTTACAGAATTTTTGAGACATCTTTTGGACTTTCACTATTAAGAATTCTTTCAGGAATCAGGGACCAAGACCAAATACATACTTTTTATTATATCACAATTGTTTTTAATATCAAAATACTGGAAAACTCTCAGGCTTAAGTGATTTTCTTGTCTCAGCCTCCCAAGTAGCTGGGACTACAGGAGCCGCCACAACACCTAGCTATTTTTTGTTGTAGTTGTCGTTGTTTAGCTGGTCCTGACTTGGGTTTGAACCCACCAGCTTTGGTGTATGTGGCTGGCTCCATAACCACTGTGCTATGGGAGCTAAGCCTCTTTAGTATTTCTTGTAGGGGATATGTGCTAGTCACAAATTGACTCTTGTTTTTGTTTATCTGGGAATGTCTTAAATTTTTTTTTGTCTTTGAAGGATAGTTTTGCTGGATGTAGAATTCTTGGTTTTCTTTCACCACTTTGAATGTGATGTCCCACTGTCTTCTGGCCTCTATGGTTTCTGATGAGGAGTTACTTGTCATATTATTAAGGGATGAGTATATGATGAGTGTTTTCTTGTTGTCAGAGTTTTCTCTTTGCTTTAGTTTTCAGCAATTAACTGATATTTCTACATGGAAGTTTTCTTGTGTTTGTACTTAGAACTCATTAAGCTTCTAAATGTTCAGATTAACGTTTTTCATCAAAGTTGGAAAGGTTTTGGCCACTGTTTTTTCAAATAGTCTTTCTGCCTCTTTCTCTTCTCTTCCAAGATTCCTATTATGCATATTTTGATATGCTTGATGGTTCCCCACAGATCTCGGAGTCTGCTCATTTTGCCTTACTCTTTTTTCTTTCTTTTCCTCAGATTGGATAGTCTCAATTGACCTGTCTTCAAGTTCACTTATGCTTTGTTCTGCCTGTTTAGATCCGCTATTGAGTTTTTAACCTTTCTCTTTAGTTACTGTGCTTTTTAACTCCAGATTTTTCTAGTTGTCTCCATTTTTATATAATTTTTATGTCTTTATTGATCATCTTTGTTCAGAGAGACATTGTTCTTTTATTTTTCTTTAGTTTTTTAGACATAGTTTCCTTTAGTTCATTGAGTATTTTAAAGTCCTTATCTTGTAAGCCAATTTCTGAACTTCCTTGGGACTTTTTTTCTAGACTGCTTTTTTTTTCTGTGTATGGGTCATACTTACTTGTTTCTTTCAGTGTGCTGTGATTTTTTTGTTGTTGTTGAAATTGGACAGTTTAAAATAATGTGGCAACTCCAAAAGTCAGTTCCCTTCCCTTATGTAAGGCTTGATTATGATGTTCATTCATGATGTTTTTGCTGTTCGTTTGTTCCTATCTCTTTAGTGTCTGCTAGCTTGTGAGCTATTAAGCTTGTGAGCGCTTGTTTTCAGGGCTACCACAGAAAAAGGGAAAGGGTTTGAGAATAAAACATGTTCACAATTCCACAAAGCTTGCTGTTTTTAATGAGATTCAGTGATTTTTCTTGAATAGAGCCTTCCCAGAATGTTGTGAGCATTTTAGTTAAATTCCAGAAGTCTGAAGAGTTAATTTTGACAGATTTTGTCTGTGTTCTCATTACATTTTTGGAGAAAAGGATTTGCAGAGTTCTTCACCATTCTTGATGACGTACAAATCTTTAGTATATCACAAGAAAATGTTCCTGGGATTTTAATAAGAATTACATTAAACTTTTGGGGAGAATTGAGATCTATACTTTGTTGAGGCTGATTTATGGACACACTGTGTCTCCATTTATTTAGATGTTTAATTTCTTTCATCAGCATTGTGTAATTTTCAGCATATAAGTCCTCCGTGTATTTTGTTGGATTTATACCTCAGTCAGTCTGCCTTTCTTTTCCTTTCTCTTTCTTTCTTTCTTTTTTGGTAGATGCCTTGAGATTTTCTTTTCTTTTTTTTAGCCTGAGTCTCACTCTGTCACAGTGGATAGAGTGCCGTAGTGTCATCACAGCTCACAGCAACCTCAAATTCCTTGGGTTTAAGTGATCTTCTTGCCTCAGCCTCCCAGGTAGCTGGGACTACAGATGCCCGCCACAACACGCAGTTAGCTTTTGTATATATATGTTTTTTTAATAGAGATAAGGTGTCACTCTTGCTCAGGCTGGTCTCTAACTTCTGAGCTCAAGTGATCCACCTGCCTGGTGCCTCCCAGAGTGCTAGGATTACAAGCGTGAGGCACTGTGCCAGGCTCACCTTGGGATTTTCTACATAGACAGTCAATCACGTTACCTACAAATATGGACAACTTTATTTCTTCCTTTCTGATTTGTATGCATTTAGTTTCTTTTTCTTGCCTTATTGAATTGGCTTCAGAACTTATGACATGGTGTTGAATTAAAATGGTGAGCACTGACATCCTTGCCTTGTTCTTAATCTTAGGAGGAAAGCATTCACGTTTCCATCATTATGTATGTGCGCTATAGGGGTTTTGATTGCAGATGATTCTTATCAGATTCAGTAGGTTCCCATACATATTTGTATGTTTCTAAGAATTTTATCATGGGTATTCTATTTTGTCATATGTTTTTTCTGCATCTATTGATATGATTATATAATTTTTTTTCTTTAAGTTGTTAATATGATGGATTGTTGGGTTGTTTTAAACTTTCCAAACATACAGCACAGTTGAAGAATTGTGATCACCTATACACCTACCACATACATTTTATAATTTTTTTCTTCTTCACATGTAGGGTATTTGTTTATAGGGAGGCCACAGTTCTGTGCTCCTCATCACAGTGACCCTAGATTCCTACTGGGTATGTTATAAACTGATGGATTGTTTTTTGAATATCAAATCAACCTTGCATCCCTGAAACAAACCACACTTGATTGCATTGTATAAGTATACATGCATATAATCCTTTTTACACATGGCTAAATTCTATGTTAATAGATTTTTGCATCTGTATTCATGAGAAATATATTCTATCATTTTCTTTTGGTACTTTCTAATTTTGGTATTGGAAAAACTAGCTTCTTAAAATGAGAAGTGATCTCTTCTGTGTTCTGAAATAAATTGTGTAGAATTGGTATTCTTCTTCAAACATTTTATATAATTCTCTAGTGAAACTATCTGGACCTAGAGATTTATCTTTGTGGAAAACTATGAATTCAATAATATTTACAGGCCTGTTCAAATAATGTTTCCTATTAGGTGAGTTGTGGTAGTTGTGTCTTTTGTGGAATTGGTTCATTTGTTTAACTTGCCACATTTTTTGTGCCAAAATTGTGTAAATTTTTGGTATCTGTAGAATCTGTAGTCATACCCGTGTTTTATTCCTGGATACAGACAACTGAGTTTTTGATTGTTTTGTTCTATTTTTTTGGTCAGTCTTGGCAGAATTTTGTTAATTATAGTGATCTTTTCGAGGAAGCAGCTCTTTGTTTCATTCATTTTCTCTGTTTTCAATTTCATTGATGTTTATTCTTACCTTTCTTACTTCCTTTCTTCTGCTTTGATGGAGAGTTGCTCTTTTTTCCCCCTAGTTTCTTGAGGTAGCAGCTTAGATTATTAACTTGAGACTTTTCCTCTTTGTGTATGCACTTTTGATATATATTTTCTTCTCATCATTGCTTTACCTGTATCCCACAAATTTCGATGTTTTGTATTTTTATTGCAATTCAATTTAGTGTTTTTTTAAAATTTTTGAGATTATAATTTGTTTATCCACGCTTCTGTTAGAAGACATTTACATTGTTTCTAGTTTGAGGGTATTACCAGCTTTATTGGTATTGAATATTATACACCATTTTGTGTGGTAATAAGCTTTTGTTTCTCTTTGTTAATTTCTTGGGAGTAGAATAGCATAGGTATATATTTAACATTTTAAGGAATTGCCAAAATGATTATTGGTAATTTAAGTTTAATTGATAAAAGTTGACTTGTAATAGCTTGGAATTATTTTTTAAGTGGTTCATCGTAGATAATTTGAGAAATACTGCTGTGGAGTAGCCTTGGAGGAGTTAGATTTAGGTTGCTGCAGGAAGTCTTTACATTGTACAAGATAAAGCAGAGTGAACACAGATGTAAGTAGAATGATAGATTTGGAAGCAGGAAAAGGGGAGAGTACTTGTAACTATTAATGAAGTAGAGGTAAGGTCATTAGCTAAATAGAGGGAAGTTAGCAGTAAAGGATTGAAGGAGGTGGAGAAGGTATGAGCTCATCTTGGAATGAGAGCACAAATTTATTAGAGAAGTTTAATTGGTATATCTGATAATTTTAAGTGCCTGTTTAAATTTTGTGGCTGTAAATTTAAAGTGAGACTGTTAGTTACTTAAAAACAGTTAGAAGGCATAGAATTAGGTTTACATAGGACTAGGTTTTTCCTCCGCCAATGTGACATAGGAATGGGAGGGTCAAGAGGTCACTGCAAAGGCATGGTTATAGTGCTGCATTGTGGAACTTCAACTGATTAAGCAAAGAAATGAAGGAATGATGGATTGTGAAAAGGTAGTGGGGGGGGGGTCAATAGATTGTAGGACCTTGTGGCATCAGAAGGTAGGAAAACAGTGATCAAAAAGTAGGATTATGAAGATACGATTTTCCAGAAGTGATGTGATGTTTGGTGATTTATGTGATTTAGAATATAACCCTCCTCATCCACCTCTTCATGAAGAGAAGGTGACTGGGGAGGGGTTAAGGAAAAGATGGTTGAATTTGAAGAAATAGAGAAACACAGAGTTCAAAGAGATTGATTTTCCTGTGTATGTATGTGTGTGTTAAAGTCACATGATGACAGGCATAAAGTTATGGAGAGGGGATGATGGTGAATCAGATACCAAAGTCATCAATGAATGAGTGAGTTAGGGGAAGATTTTGAGGGAGGTAGTTAATACAGCAACAAGGATAATTGTTGACAAAGTCTGATCCCTGGTCTTCAAAAGGAAGTGAAGTGGGGCTCAAAGGAGGAAGGAGTACCATGGGGAGTAATGGGAATAACCTCCACCTCTGGGTTTTGTGGTAATGGTTTATGGCAGGAAAAGCTCAGGAAGAATCTAGGAAGAACAAGTGTCTTTCAGAAATAGCCAAGTTTTGGCTTGGCGCCTGTGGCTCAAGTGGCTAAGGCGCCAGCCACATACACCTAAGGTGGCGGGTTCGAATCCCCAGCCTGGGCCGCCAAACAACAATGATGGCTGCAACCAAAAAATGGCCAGGCATTGTGGCGGATGCCTGTAGTCCCAGCTACTTGGGAGGCTGAGGCAGTAGACTCACTTGAGCCCAGGAGTTGGAGGTTGCTGTGAGCGTGATGCCATGGCACTCTACCCAGGGTGATAGCTTGAGGCTCCGTCTCAAAAAAAAAGAAAGAAATAGCCAAGTTTCAGGTAGAACAAAGGAAACATTCAGAGAAATTGAAGATATTGAGTGATAGGAGGACAGTATCATAGCAAAGATGAGTGATCTAAGAGGTTTAGACTTAATGGGTGCCTTAACTGAAACGTGATTAGTCATGACATTTTCCTGAATGTAACAAAGGAGTTGTTACCTGAAGGTAACAAAAGAGTGAGAGTTTAGAAAACTTACCTGAAAGGTAGAGGGGTTCATTGCTTGTTTTTTGTTTTTTGTTTTTTTTTTTTGCTTTTCAGTTTTTTTGGTCAATACCAGACTAAGACTTTCTTTTAGTTCAGCTTTCTTTGGCAGCCCAGTGACTTTCAGCAGCTTGGTGGTCTCTCTTTTGCTAGGATTACAAAGATTATATTTGTTAAACTTCTTGTCCCTTTTTCACAGCTGTGGACCTCCTCGTGTGTTTGATAATCTTAAATCTGTACTGCCTTCTGTAATGGGCCCATTTCTTCTTCTAAATGCCTTGGACCTTATAGGTTTTTTGGCAGAGCACTGGTTTCTTGTCTACTTCCTTCTTTTAGGCCCATTGAACATTGTTAATTTTCATTGGTAGATAATGTATCTTAATTGTTGAAATACATTTTCTTTTGCTTCTACTGTTTGGTGTATAGGAGAGAGGATTTGGGTGTGTTTGGTTCATTATCTCAGTACTGCCAAAGCTAGATTATTAGAAAGGAATAATTGATAGTGTCCTAAATTTCCAACAATAGGGAATGGAATAATGTGTAGTATATCTTTATAACACTACACAGGTGTTAGAATTTTGTTTTGTGAAGACAAGGGGAGTAATGAGAAACTGCTTTCCATACATTTTTAGTGATGCCATTTAGTAAAAAATACATGTTCAATAGATAAAAGTAGGCATTGAAATGTAAAAAGTTAAAAACATTAAGATTATAAATGACTTTTATTTGTTATAATCTTTATATTTTCCATTTTTCTATAATGAATATGTTGTAACTTTTATAATGGGAAAGGGGAGGGGGTAACTTGGAAATAAAACCAGCTTATAAATAGATCATGTGATGTGTTACCTTAATCTGTTTTAATAGAAAATTCTAGTTGTAAAAAATAAATTGGATATATATGTGTATATTTGTGTGTGTGTATGAGTGTCTTAAATAAAATCCTAACTGTCTTAGACAGACAATGGATTTGATAAAAATTTCACTCATATCAGATGGTGACTTAATATATCTGGTTTTTAAAATATAATTAACCCTGAATATAAGTCAAGAACTCTAATCATATAGATTATGATTAAAATCTCATAGAAGTTTATGCTGTTGGTAGAAAACAATTCTTTTGAAGGAAAATAGTTTATTTCAGTTTAAAATGATAACTTGTGTATTTTTTACACAAACTACTTGAGACCAGAAGTGTTAAAGAGATTTCAGCAGGTTTTTGGATTTTGGAATATTTGTGTGTGTGTGTGTGTGTGTGTGTGTGTGTGTGTGTGTATAGAGAGAGAGAGAGAGGTAACTTGAGGATGATCCTTAAGTCTAATCATGAAATTCATTTCCATTTCAAATATTCTTTCTACATATAGCCTGTGGTAATTTAATCCTTTTTTCCACCCCCCAAAGAGATGTGGTCTTTCTCTTTCTGTCACCCAGATTGGAGTGCAGTGGCCTGATCATAGGTCACTGTAGCCTCAAACTTCTGGGCTCAAGTGACCCTCCTGATGCAGCCTTCCCGATACCACCATGCCCAGCTAACTTTTTTTTGGGGGGGGGGTCTCACTATGTTTTCTAAGCTAGTCTCAAAGTCCTGTCCCTTAAGCAGCACTCCTACCTCAGCCTCTTGTAAGTGTTGAGTATAAGCACGAGCCGCTGCAGCCAGCCACATGTAGTTTTGTGCATGAGACAAAAGTTGTATACATTGAATCATCAGAAGCCAAAACTGTCTCCATCTCAGCCAGTTATATGAGTAGTAGTCTGTGGTGGTTTGCAGTCACCATCACTCCTGTCTTTGAATGTATATGCTACTGATAGATAAGCAGTCATTTTCTTATACATACTCACACAAGGTACTTAAACAGTAAAAAATATGACATACCATTCATATGTGAAAAATAATGTGTTCAGAGTAACTTATGTTATATGGACACTGGAAAAGTTTCAGGTTTGGACATTTCAGATTTCACATTTTTGGATTAGGGATTTTCAGCCTGTAATAGAGTGACTTAGAATCTTTATCATTATTTCTACTGAAGCTATCATATATTATCCCACATGACTATATTAATTTTGTTCTTAAGATGTGTAGTATGTATTTACTGCCTATAAATATTTAGAAATCTGTTTGGTTTTATAAATACTACGTGTTTTGTTTATTCAGTTGTTAAAGAGTACTAATGATATGCTAAGCTCTACTTCTAGGTATTTGGGATTTATTAGTGAATGTACAAAACAAAGATAAAAGTATGGTAGAGTTGGTAATCTGCTAATCTAATTCTCTCAGGATGCCTTTTAAGGAAACACTTGTGTTTTCAGATTATTTGCATTCCTAAAATTAGTATATTACTGTGAAAGCCTTATAAACGCACAATCTCAAGTACTAACCTTCTTTTGTTTAATTAGATTGAGGAACTGCAGCAGGCTTTAATAGTAAAGCAAAATGAAGAGCATGACCGACAGAGGAGAATAAGTAATACCCGCAAAATGATAGAGTATTTGCAAAATGAACTAAAGACTGCAGAAAACTGTGAGAATCTTCAGCCCCAGATTGATGCCATTACAAATGATCTGAGACGAATTCAAGATGAAAAGGCATTATGTGAAGGCGAGATAATTGATAAACGAAGAGAGAGGGAGACTCTAGAGAAGGAGAAGAAGAGTAAGTTTTCTTAAAGTCAGGTTAAAATGTTTATAAATTGGAGGTGTATCTATGTTCCCTCCCTGCTGAGGAAGCTTAGCTTATGCCTTAATTACTTCACCTTCATCCCTTAATTATGTGTATCTTTTCATGTACTATGATGTGCCACTAGCAGCTGGTTTAATTCTCTAAAGGTATTTAGCTAGCCTTATTTTCTTTACAGAGTCACTCATTGTTACTCAGATCATTTTTGAGTAATGATTGTTACTCAGATCATTTTGTTTATTGTAGCCTTCATTACTTCCATTAGCCTAGTTCTTTGAAATCTTTCCAGTTTCATATTTGGTTTTCTTACTTGTAGACTATGTGAATAGATTTGTAGCATTATTTGAACAGAGGAGATAATATATTGTCTGCTCAGTGCAAATGTCTTAAGATCCGTTAAAGAAAAAACCAATTTTTTGTGTTTATCAAAGTGCTAGATGTGTATAGCTTAAAAAAAAAAAAAAAGAACTAGAGGATAAGAGGGGTGCAACCCCTTTCCCACTTCCAGATTCACTCGAAAGTAAACATTTTTAACTCCTTCAGTTTTTCTAATAGTCTTTCCATGTACATATATATATATATTCTTATTTTACTATTGCTTGATAATAAATTTTAGACCTTACCTTTTTATATTTACTTTAGATGTTAATTTTGCCTTTTCTGTTATTGTAATCTTCAAATGGGAGTATTATGTTAATAATTATTTTTATTATAGTTAGTATAGTTTTTTGTCATTTAATGATTATTGCTTGTGTGTACTGTTTATAAGCTAAAATACTAGTATTCCCTTCCATCTTTGCATTTTACTCACTTCTGTTTTTACATTCTAAATTCCCTTATCTTTACTCTGCTTTTGATATTTTCAAGGCTGAAACCATTTATATTTATTGAGAACTATACTTAAATTTAATGTGCTGGGGCTCAGCACCTGTGGCTCAGGTGGCTAAGGTGCCAGCCACATATACCTGAGCTGGTGGGTTCAAATCCAGCCCAGGGCCACCAAAACAACAATGATGGCTGCAGCCAAAAAATAGCCAGGTGTTGTGGCAGGTGCCTATGGTCCCAGCTACTTGGGAGGTGGAGGCAGGAGAATCTCTTGAGCCCAGAAGTTGGGCTGTGAGCTTTGATGCTACAGCATTCTACCCAGGGCAACAGCTTGAGGCTCTGTCTCAAGAAAAAAAAAAAAAAACTAATGTGCTGTATTTATGGGTTAATTCTAGAAGTGTAGAAATACTAAGTATTGTTAATTGGAACAATTAAACTTGTTCATAGCTGAATTTTAACAAATTCAACTTGTTAAATTTCCTATTGTTAATAGCTCTTTAGAAAGTTTTAATTTATCTTTTAAAAAAACCCCACCATTTACTTTATAATTTCCCTAATTAAAGAGAGGATAAAAAGGTATCTTATCAGGCATTCTCTTCTGTTTTGTAGCCTTCTGTTCTTCCCTCTAAACTGGTTGTTTTCAAGGCTTCTTGCATCTGGGATACTCACGCTTTTTCTACATTATAAACCTATTCCTGAATTCCATGTTTTTGTTTTTCTTACATTATGCCCTTGTTTTGTTAGAGCACATCTTCAGGTAACCTCGTAAGAAGAGTTTTTTGACCATTAATTTCAGAGTCTTTGTACCCTGAATACAAATGCCTTTATTTTATTATCTCTTTTTCTCAACTTGGTTAAATATATAATTCTAGTATGAAAATACTTCTTCTCTCAGAATTTTGAAGGTCTGCTATCTTCTGTTAGGAAGACTAGTGTGTTTCTCTTTTTTTTTAGATGACCTGTTTTCATTTTTGATAGTTCCAAGATCATGTTTTATTCTAAATGTTTGGAAATTGTAGGATGATTTGTCCCCAGTTCTTTTCACTATGTGGCATACTTGCTGAGTGTTGTTTATAACCTGTAGATCTAGGATATTCTTTTGTATTATTAATAAGTTATTAATTAAACTTTTCAGAGAAATACTATTGTTTTCTTTTCCAATTTTAGGTGTGGATGATCATATTATACGTTTTGACAGTCTGATGAATCAAAAGGAAGATAAGCTGAGACAGAGATTCCGTGACACATATGACGCTGTTTTATGGCTGAGAAATAACAGAGACAAGTTTAAGCGAAGAGTCTGTGAGCCGATAATGCTCACGGTAAAACCTTTTGTTCATCTTGGTAGCATTTGTTAGTCCAGGGCAGTGCTTGTGGCTCAGTAAGTAGGGCGCCGGCCCCATATACCAAGGGTGGTGGGTTCAAACCCAGCCCTGGCCAAATTGCAACAACAACAAAAAAAGCCGGGCGTTATGGTGGGCGCCTATAGTCCCAGTTACTTGGGAGGCTGACGCAAGAGAATTGCCTAAGCCCAAGAGGGAGAGTTTGCCGTGAGCTGTGATGCCATGACACTTTACTGAGGGTGACAAAGTGAGACTCTTTCTCTTTAAAAAAAAAAAAAAGAAGAAGAAGAAGAATTTTTAGTCCTGGTAACACCCCAGTTTTTCATTATCAGACATGTAGTGTCTGACATGCTGCAGAATCCATACATGAACTTTTTTTCTTTCTTTTTTTTTTTTTAAAGGGCCACTGATCAGTGAGGGTAATAGCTGTGAACTGTGGACTTTTTGGAGGTATGGGAGACTAGCAACTTACTGACCAAGAACCAGGTGGGAAATTAGCTTGGTTAGCTGGTTTCTTCTGGAACTGGCTATTCTTAAGCTATAGCAGGTATTAGATTAAACCCTGCTTAAGAGATAGAAAATTGCTATTAATTAATATGTTGACAAGGAACACATGACAAGATAGGCAGGAAAATCACTTGACCAAGAGAAGGGCATGCTAAGGATTTTGAGAATGAAGCCCATAGTTTTATTTTATTTTATTTATTTTATTTCAGGTTAATGTGAGGGTATAAACAAGTAGGTTACAATATTTGCATTTGTTAAGTAGAGTCCCTCTTGTGATTATATCCCACACGTAAGAGGTATGCCATATACCCTGCCACTGTGCCCGTTAAATAGAAGCACACCAATCCCCTCCCCTCATTTCTTCCCTTAGTGCCCCTCCCCCTACTTGAATTAAGTTTTTCTCCTAGGTGTGAAGCCAGTAGTTTGTTGATATCATAAAGTATTTGATAGCTCTTAATGATGATTGTGGGTCATCAAGAATAGATGAAACATTAATGAAATGTAGCCATGGATTTACTAGGATGGTTGCCATCTGAAATATTTAAAATAAATTTGGTCATGTCAAGAGATGAAAAATGGAAAACCACATCTTTAGTAATGATATGTTAGATATAAAATATACCCTTAAAACTTGCCACAAAATTACTCAAGGATTACTTTTGCTAGATAATTTTTTTCTTTAGAAAAGAACTCACTATAGATCCTTGTAGGATTTATGAAAGGTTTTATTTCCTGAAACTTATGTTTGTGTTACACTTTAAATGATTAAAAATCATTTAATATAGTTTTTCATCTTATATCTTAACGTTAGCAAAATTAATATGCATTAATATTTATATCCTCTTATTCAGGAATGTACTATTAGAGAGATAATGATTTCCATTTTGTATGCAGATGTTGTATTGTTTAATAAGGATTAAAAGAAAATGTAAGCAAAAATATTATGACCCTTAATATAAGTTATAATACAGGTATAATTGTTAACAGATTTTAATTTAAATGCTAGCTTCAGAACGATATATCAGGCCTTTATTAGATTTGTCATCCTCTTATCATTTGATTTTCTAATAGTAGCCTATTGCTAAGATTAATAGCAACATGCTAAGCATGTACTTTTACTTTAAATTACATTTGAATCTTGGAGATAATGAAGTATACTTTGCTGTTTTACTCTTCATAGAATAAACTTTCACCTTTCCTACCACCTCCTCCCTTCAGCCATATCACCCCCACACACCCCTCACCCTTCAAGGTGTAATTAAAATGTTACCACCTTCATTGACAAGATTGTAATATGCAGACTTAAATTTTTGGTTATGTATTATGTTAATTACCAGTTTCCATGATTTACTTCTAACAATTGCAATTTAGAATTGAAAAATTGTGCAAAGATTTATATACAGATATACTCCCAGTAGTGTTTATAATAGAATGATAGGGCAACAGAAGAAAGTTTACAAAGATTCTAATTGGTTCAGTAAATTACTCTTTATCTTTGTAATGGAATATTATGCAGCCATTAAAATGTTGCTTTAGATCTCTTTTAACTATTAGGAGATTCATGATATCTTAATCAGGAAACAGGTTACAGAATAGGATGTATAGAAAAATTTCATTGAAGAATCCAATGTACTCAATAATAGGCAAGTAGACACTCTAATACAGGCGTCCTCAAACTATGACCCATAGAGGACATTTATCTGGCCCGACATTTATCCTGCCCGCCTGGTGTTTTTGCTGCTGCTGCTTGTCCTGCTTAGCAGCCAACTTGTCTCAGGGCCCACAGTCCTGCCCTCCAGCGGTCTGAGGGACAGTGAACTGGCCCCCTGTTTAAAAAGTTTGAAGACCCCCGCTCTAATACATGCCCACATAAGAGAAAAACTGAAATCAACTTAAGGAGGGGGGCCAGGGAACAACGGAATGGGGAGAGGAAAGAGGGGAGGAGTGGGATGGGTGTGCTCCTATTTAATGGGCACAGTATTAGGGGGTATGGCACACCTCTTGGGGGCAGGACACAATCATAAGGGGGACTTTACCTAACAGATGCAAACATTGTAACCTAATTCTTTGTACTCTGAAATTAACCTAAAACAATAAGCAAAAAAAAAAAAAAATTTAAGAAAATTTTCATTGAAAAAATTGTGAAACAGGAGGCTGCCATCAACTACCAGATCATCTTGGAGGGCTTTGTCTCCTATATCTGCCTGTCTATTTCTTCACTTTGACAGTGAAGTTGTGACTGTGAAGTTCTTTAAAGAACTTTGGCAAATTTTTTATTCATGAATCTCATGAGAAGAGGGAGCATCCTAAGAAATCAGAGCTGAGCGAGGCTCGGCGCCTATGGCTAAGGCACCAGCCACATATACCTAAGGTGGCGGGTTTAAATCCAGCCCGGGCCGCCAAACAACAATGACGGCTGCAACCAAAAAAATAGCCGGGCGTTGTGGCAGGCGCCTGTGGTCCCAGATACTTGGGAGGCTGAGGCAGGAGATTCGCTTGAGCCCAGGAGTTGGAGGTTGCTGTGAGTTGGGATGCCATGGCACTCTACCCAGGGAGACAGCTTGAGGCTCTGTCTCAAAAAAAAAAAAAAAAGAAAAAAGAAAAAAAGAAATCAGAGCTGAAGAACCAACAAGGTGGCTAAATCTTCTGTCAGTATATCAAGAAACCTCCCAATTGTAAATGCCATAGCTTACATTTGGGAAAAAACACATGTGAATCAGTCATGGCTGAACCATACAAACTGACTGGTAACCAGATGATCCATACTTGTGTGACTTCCTTGAAACTCATTACCTGAATTAGCAGGTGAAATCTAATAAAGAATTGAATGGCCATGTAACCAATGTAAGATGGGGGCCTTGGAATCTTACATGGCAGAATATTTGTAATGAGTACACCCTGGGAGAATGTGGTAATGGAGAGCTAAATCCTAGGCTGGCTTAATTTTAGCTATATTAAAAAAAAAATTAGCTGGGTGTGGGATGTAGATCCTGCTTCTTGAGAGTCTGAGGAAGGAAGATTTCATAAGCCTAGGAATTCAAGGCTTCAGTGAAACTAGTGATTACACCACTGCACTCCAACTAGACAAGACAGAGTGAGAGTGAGACCTGGCTCGGTGCCATAGTTCAGCAGTTAGGGCGCCAGCCACCTGAACTGGAGCTGGTGGATTCAAACCTGGCCCGCGCCTACTAAACAGACAAACAAAAAAATAGCCGAGTGTTGTAGCAGGCACCTGTAGTCCCAGCTACAAGGGAGGCTGAGGCAAGAGAATCACTTAAACCCAAGAGTTTGAGGTTGCTGTGAGCTGTGACACCACGACACTCTACCAAAGAGGACATAGTGAGACTTTGTCTCAAAAAAAAAAAAAATGAGACCCCTGTCTCTAAAAGAATAAAATAAATTTTCAAAAGATGACTTTCTGTGGACCTACTAGGGTTATTTTTACCCTTTCTGTAAATTGTAGTAAACACCCACTTTAATTTGCATCATTTTTTCCATTGTGGTAATTTAGTACCAAAAACACTGGGAAACAATAGACACTAAGTATTTATAGCATTGGGTATTCTTGGTTTTTGTGTGTGTGGTTTAATTGTTTTTGGTTTGCTTATATTTCTGTTTTCTCATTTTTCTACACTGATTGATATTCTATAATTAAAATAGAGTAGTGTTGGCCAACATTTATGTGACAAGCACTGTATTTTTTTTATTGTATTATCTCTTTTAGTCCACATTTAGTCCTGTAAGGTATGACTATATCCATCCTAACAGATACGGTAACTAGAGCTTTCTGAGATTTCAGTAGTACTTGAGCAAGATTGTACATAGGATTTGAAAGAACATCATCTCTCTGACCCCAGAGCTCTAGCTCTTAGCTAGTATGTCTCACGATGTATTGCAGTACATAAATACTTCTCCTCTCATTTTTTCAAGAAAGCTCATTTCTTTTCCATCTATTGGAAGTAATCAGTCTCTTCTCCAGAATTCCACAAATAGTGCTTCCTATATACCTCTTTTAATGGGAGCTTTGTTCATGCTCTGCTTTTCAACATAACTTACTTATGTGCAATAAACAATAGATTGTATTCCCTTGAAATAGTTTTTTTTAATCTATTTTAACATCTTTTGCAGAACTGAACCTCTCACATGCAGCAGTGCCTAATTAGTTAATAATTTTAAACTAAGTTTATATACTTTGGTGGTACAAACCTAAAATTTTATCTTGAAGGCACTGATAGTTATAGTTAAACTGTAGAAAGGTTTTTTAAATTAGTTTTCTTCAGTTCTTTGTATTTTTCTACTTATCAGTTATTTTCATCTATAGTTCTTTTGAAAATTAAGAAAAATACAAAAAGGTTGGGGGAAGATGTAAAGTATTTACGTTAAGTTACAACCAGAGACTGTTTCAAATATTTTCAGTGACTTGACTAGAAAAGCACTTGTTATTTCTTAAATAATATGTAAATCAGTATGCGTTGGTTATTAGTCACATCTTGGCTTTTGTTTCAGTATGGACTGTACTGGTTGTTTCTGTAAAATAAATAAATGTTTTAAAATGACTCTTTCATAATACATTGTTCTTTTTTAGTCTTCCCTTAAAATTAGATTAAAATTTAATTGAAAGTCTTAAGTTGTATATAAATGTATTTTAATATTCAGTTTAGGTTTCATGAAAAAACTTATTTTTTATTTTTGTTCAGATCAATATGAAAGATAATAAAAATGCCAAATACATTGAAAATCATATTCCATCAAATGACTTGAGAGCCTTTGTATTTGAAAGTAAAGAAGATATGGAAGTTTTCCTCAAAGAGGCAAGTATTGACCAACTTAGCAAACACTTTGTCACTGGGCCGTTCTTTTAGTGCTTAAATTTTTGACTTCACTAGAGCAAAAGTTGATAACTAATTTTACTATCAGTAACTCTTGTGCAAAGTCACTCAGCTTTGTTAATTTCTTTCCGATCTATGTCAGTATAAGGCAATGAATTTGTTTTATAAAGGGAGAACAGCCCATAATTAGCCCATAATTACTATGGGAGATAGCCACTGTTCTATAGGACAGCCACTTTTCTTTTTTTTCTTTTCTTAACTCAAAAGACTTGCTTTTACCTTATTCTGTCAGCTTACTCTTGAATTCTTTCCTGCAGAAAGCCAAGAATTCATTTGGCCTTTAGGCCAGAACCCAGTTTGGTGTCTGTCTTTCTGTATCAATATGGTTCAAATCCTTAGCAGAAAGGCAGAATGAGTTTCTGACACAGGCAAATAATTCTTTATGAACTAACACGGCCATTTGCAAAATAGAAATCATCTAATTACACCTTGATTACCCTTTGTGAGTTTGGGGGGGTGTCTTATTTTTTATCTTCTGTTCAATTTCATGTTAAGTGGAAGAAGGATTATTCACAAGATTTCAGGGAAGGGATGGGGATTTTTCAGAACCAAGGGTCCCTCCCCTTTATAAACCACATAGTATAACTTTCCAGAGTTATCAAGGAATTTGTAAACTTGTTGGTGCTGGTAGAAGTTTCTTTTAGTATGCCAATACATCATAAGCAGGGTATAATGGCAGAGAGGATAACCTGAGGTCAATTTTTTATGGCCATCTTGACTGATTTTGGTTTCTCTGCCATCTCTTGTTATCAGAGTTTGGTTTGGGACTTACAACTCTTTATTGAACAATGCCTGCTGGTTCCCTGTTTTTAGTATGTTAATAATGGTAGAGATTCCTGATAATTTGATCTTTATTCTGTTGAGGTGGAGGGTTGTAATAATTAACTTTCCATAGCTACTCATCAGATAGTACCAGAACTTTCTCTTACATCTCTCTGACTTTTTGTGTGTGTATTATAAATTGTGAGATTTATTCTATATAACTTTCCCCTGTAATTGGCAATAGAGTGCCATTTCTCACCCTTCAGTAACTTACAAACCATCTTTATAATTTTTTCCATTTCTATATACTACAGTGTACAATCATTACAATTATTGCCATATCTGAGTACTACCTATAGTAGTATTTTAATATTTTTCTTTCAATCAAACATGTTTATCACTACCAAATTAGAAAGCCAATAATTTAATATAAGATAGTAAACACAATGTCAATAAATTCTAGATCTGCATTATTTCCTAAAAACAGATAATGTGTTAAAAAAAGAGATAACAAGGAAAAGATGTGCTGATGCCATATTGCAACTATCTCCTTGGTATAATTAGAAATATTGGAAGGGAATTAAAAAGGAGATTACTTTCTTAATGTGTAATTCAGTTTTATTTAATGTAACCACTGCAGCAATAGATTTTAATAACAATGCACCCCATATACTACCATCAATGATATGTTGACTCATGACCAATGTTATTTCATTTATACCTCCACTTCTTTGTTGGTTTTTTCTGTTACTTTTTTTTTTTTTTTTGAGATAGACTCTCACTTTGTCGCCCTCAGTAGAGTGCAATGATATCATAGCTCACAGCAACCTCAAACTCCTGGGCTAAAGCAATCCTCTTGCCTCAGCCTCCCTAGTAGCTAGAACTATAGGCACCTGCCACAGTGCTTGGCTATTTTTAGACATGGGGTCTCTGTCTTGCTCAGACTGATGTCAAACTCCTGAGCTCAGACAATCCACCTGCCTTGGCTTCCCAGAGTGCTGGAATTACAGACATGAGCCACCAGGTCCAGCCAGTTTTTTTCTCGATAGCTTCTTATTTTTATATCATTTCAAACTATCAGAATAGTACATGGAACTTCTTTATTCTCATAAAGCCCACAGCAGATTCACTGATTATTTCACTTAACCCTACTTACTTTATTATTTCTCCATTACAAAGTGCAATAAATTGTGCTATAACACATGTATTTGAACCGTGTTCACAGCATGCTCACCAGGAGTAAATTCCAAATCAAGAAACCACTTTTTGTTCATTAGAAGTAACTGGGCGGGGGAGGAGGGGATGGATACATTCATAAGTATTGGATATAATGCACACTGTCTGGGTTAAAAGTCACACTATATTTGACTCAGTCTGCACAAAAAACAAAAGTATAAGATCTGACAATAAGTTTGTGAACTCATTCTAGAAAAAGTGCTACATACCCCATTGCTAAATATCACTATAGTCAGCCTTCCAAGTAGAAGCTATGCACCAATGCCAGTGCCTAGTTTGCCCTTCAAAGCAGTTTTGGATTTTTTTTCTGGAATGGCTGTCAGAGATGTGGTTGTATTATCCTTTATGTCTTGAATGTCATCAGAATGTCTTCTTTTCAGTATTTTCTTTATCTTGGAAAGAAAAAGTCCTTGGGGGCCAGATCAGATGAGTAGGGAGAGTGTCCCAATGCAGTCATTTGTTTACTGGCTAAAAACTCCAACAAAGACAGAGCCATGTGAGCTGGTGCATTGTTGTGATTCCACAGCCACACCTTTCTTACGCCAAGATTTTAAATTAAGATTTTTCTTTTTCTCAAAAAAATAAAAAAAATGATTTTTCTCTTTCTCCATTGATAACTTTCTTCGTCTGCTATGCTTCTCAATCATTTTTATTCATAATTTGACAAATTTTTGCAATGTTTTCATGAGTTCTGCTCATTACTGGGAGCCATGACCTCTCTTCATCAGTGACTCTCTTCTCTCAGAAAACCTGTTAATCTATTTGTATACTGCTGTTTTCTTCATGGCATTAGCCCCATAAACTTGGACTAACCCATCCCTGATTTCACTTCCACTCTTGCCAAATTTAACAAGAAATATTATGCTAATATTTATTCATTACTCTAATTCAAGCTCCGATGATCTTGTGACAGCACAAGAAAGTATGCAGCAATAATGAACACTCTTCAGGATGCCACCTTATGTCGATGTGAACATAGCTGTGAGATGCTGATACACTAAGGCTATGAAGCCAAACTGAGTTGTTTGGGTAGTGCTGTCAACATAAGTATGTAGTCGCAAATTCATGAACTTTAAGTGTCAGATCTTGTATGTAAACAAAATGTGTATTCCCTAGTGTTCTGAAATTTTTTAAAATGTGACATAACAAAGGAAAAAGTATTCAGATTTTATAATGAGACTGCAGCAATTCAATCACATATTCAGGCTCCACTTCTAATTCTAGTTCTCTTGGTATTTTTGTAACGTCTATAGTGACTTCCTCCACTGGTCTTAAACCCCTCAAAGTCATCCATGAAGGTTGGAATCAACTTTTCCCAAACTCCTGTTAATGTTATCTTGTTGTCTTCCCTTAAATCACAAATGTTCTTAATCATGCAAAGTGGTGAGTCTTTTCTAGAACATTTTCAATTTACTTTGCCTAGATCCATCAAAGAAATCACTATCTATGGTAGCTATAACTTTATGAAAGGTATTTATTAAAAAATGATACTTGAAATTCAAGATTACTCCTTGGTTCATGAGCTAAAGAATGAATGTTGTATTAGCAGGCGTGAAAACCACATTAATCTTGTACATCTGCATCAAAGCTCTTCGGTGGCCACGGTCATTATCAATGAGCAGCTGTATTTTGAAAGGAATCTTTTTTTCTGAGCAATAGTTCTTAACAATATGCTTTAAATATTCAGTAAACTATGCTGCAAACATCCAAGCCTTATTCCATTTCTATTGGCAGAGTAGATTTATCACAATTTTAGAGGGCCCTAGGAATTTTGGAACGATAAATGAGTATTGGCTTCAACTTACAATTGATCACTGGTTGCATTAGTTCCTTACAAACAGACTCATCCTTTCCTTTGAAGCTTTGAAGCCAGATACTGACTCTAGCTGTGAAAGTTGTAGATGGTATCTTCTTCTGATAGAAGGCCATTTTGTTTACCTTGAAAATCTATTGTTTAGTGTAGCCACCTTCCTTAATGATTTTAGCTAGATCTTCTGGATAACCTGCTGCTGCATCTGCATCTGCATCAGCACTTACAGCTTCACCTTGCACTTACATGTTGTAGAGATGGCTTCTTTCTTTCAACCTCATGAACCAATCTCTGCTAGCTTCAAACTTTTTTCCTAGAACTTCCTCACCTCTCAGTTTTTTCAAAGAATTGAAGAAAGTTAGGGCTTGCTCCAGATTAGGCTTTGTCCTTAAGGGAATGTTGAGACTGGTTTGATCTTTTCTCTGGATCACTAAAACTTCTATTAGCAAGAAGGCTTTTTCACTTTATCATTTGTGAGTTCACTAGAGTAGCACTTTTAATTTCATTCAAGAACTTTTCCTTTGAATTCACAACTTGGCTAATCATTTGGTGCAAGAAGGTTAGCTTTCCTCCTGTCTCAGCTCATTAAGCTTAATCATTTTCAGCTTTTGATTCAAAGTAAGAGATTTGCAACTCTTCTTTTTACTTGAACATGCAGAGGACATTGTAGGGTTATTAATCAGCCTAATTTCAATATTGTTGTTTCTTAGCAAATTGAGAAGCCTGGGGAGAGGGAAAAAGACAAGGCAACTTATGGTTGATAGAAGAGTCAGAACATTTATTGATTAATTTTGTCCCTTATGTGGTTGGAATTGAGGCTCCAAAACAATTACAGTAGCAACATCAAAGATCACAGTTCACAGAGCAGCACCCTAACAGATAAAATAATAATGAAAAAGTTTGAAATATTGGGAGAATTACTGGAATGTGGCAGAGACATGAAGTGAGTATATGCTGTTGGAAATAATGACACCAATAGATTTGTTCAATGTTGGGTTGCCACAAACCTTTTGTTTGTTTGTTTTTAAAAAAGAGAGATCTGCAAATCTTAAGCAAAGTGCAATGAAATGAAGTATGTTTATAGTTGCTTTGTAGAGTCTCTGGGATTTTTAGTGTAGTAAGTCCCATCTTTTGCAAATAGATGGTTTTACTTCTTTTTAGTCTTTGTCTCTTTATTGTGCTTCATTACATCAACTCATACTTCCAGGGACAATATGGAAGAGGGGGGGTAGAATCAAACTTTTTTGTGTGTTTCTAGCCCTGGGTGGAAAGCACTCAATATTTCATTATTAAGCCTGGTATTTGCTATAGATTTTTCATAGATTCCCTTTATCGGGTTGAAGAAATTTCCCTCTGTTCCTGTTTTGCTGAAAGTTTTTATCATGAGTGTCTTTTGAATTTTGTCATATGTTTCCTGCATCTACTGAGATGATCATATTTTTTTTTGTACTTTATTTTGTTAATATGATAAATCAGATTGGTTGACATTTTTTTACATTATTACATCAGTGTGACATTCCTGAGATAAACTGTGCTTGGTCATGTATCACGTTCATATGTTGTTGGGTTCTGTTTGCTAAAAGTTTTGTATGTGTATTTAGGAGAGATATTAGTTTCTAGTCTTTTTCTAGTGTTTTTGTTAGATTTTGTCAGGATTAGGATTATGCTGGTATTATAAAATGACTTGGGAAGTATTCTTTCCTTCTGTTTTCTTCAAAGTTTGGGTATTGTTGTTTCCTTAACTATTTCATCGAATTTACCAATGAAAACATCTGGTCTGGAGTTTTTATCATTGGAATATTTTTATATCACAAATACAATTTTTCTAATAAGCGTAAAAGCTATTTAAGTTTTTCCATCTTGTTTCAAATTTGGCACATTGTGTTTTTAAGGTTTTTTTCCAGTTCTTTTATGTTTTTGGTGTGAAATTTTTTATAATATTTTGTGTTTAATGTTTCTAGAATCTTTTCACCTCTAAAATTCCATCAAGGAATTTTTAATTTCAAATTGCTACATGTTTTAGTTTTAGAATTTACATTTAATTCTCTTTTGTCTGCCAAAATTCTCTTCATTCACTATAACCATAGTTTTCTTGAATATATGTATATAATGCTTCCAAAGTATCTGCTAATGTTAACATCCAGGCCTTTGTGGGTTCAGTTCCTCATTTTCTCATTATTGTGATAACAGTTTATTCTTCTCATGCATAGTATAGGTTTTTTTTATTGTGTAAGGAATTGTGGATGATGCATTATAGAGACTAGATTCAGTTATCTTTCTTCTAAAGAGATAGTAGGCAATTAACTTAACTAGACTCAAACTCCAAACTGTCTCCTAAGCAGTGGACAGCAGCTAAAATAAAATCTCCATTCAGTGATTTTTCTTTCTTTCTTACCCCCCCACCCCCACCCCCTGCCCCCAGCTTTCTGCTTATTGCTTTTCTCTAGCCCTCTGGAGTTTTCCTATGCGTTCATAGTTCAAGAGGCAGCCAAGGGTTAAAATCAGAATTAAAAAAAAAAAAATTTGAAATTGAATTTTAAAAAAAAGTGAGGCTTCTCACTTTTCGTCACCCTTCTTCCAAGAATTTACATTCTTACTTTACAGTCATTCTAGTCACTCAAAACTTCATCCTATGATTCCTCCAGCCAGAAAAAGTTGAGCTTTCTACCTGAGTTTCATCCCCCACTCTTCATGCTCCAGATTGAGGAATGTCCTCAAGCTACAGCCATATAAATGCAAATTTCTCCTAGTGCTGCTATTCTTATCTTTCAAATGTCAACTCCTTTTCTTCTGTCAGTGCCTTAAAATAATTGTTTTTTAAATTTTGACCTGGGTTTATAATCTTTAGCCTGATATACTGTATAATCTGTAAGTATTAGAAGCATAACTATCCACTTTCTGTATTATTTTTCCCCTTCCCCCCCTTTTTTCTATATTATTTTAAAGCAAATCTTAGACATTCTGTTTCATATGAATATATTTCAGTAGTTTTCAAAGAAATGGACTCTTTTTGTAAAATCACATAACTGTGGTATCATTTTCACAGTAAAATTTTCTTCTAAGTAATATCAGATATCCAGTATTTAAATTTCTCATCCATTCCATGAAAGCCAGGAGGAATATGGTAACTTTAAAAGTCATTTCAGTTGACAATATATGGTTAACTTTCATTTCCCTAAATTCAGGTTCGTGACAATAAAAAATTAAGAGTAAATGCTGTTACTGCTCCACAGAGTTCATATGCAGACAAAGCACCTTCGAGATCTCTGAATGAACTAAAGTAAGTCTAAAAATTATTGCTAAGACTAATTTGAGTTTTGAGTAATTAAATATATTTTAAATTATCTCTTTTACAAATAAATATGGTTATTGTAGGCAGTGTTATTTTCTTTTAGGATCTCCACTTAAGTCTAAAATAAAGTATTTAGGCCCAGGAACAAAGCATGATATAGTTATACAATGAAGATGATGTTTCAAAAAAGACCAGTATTGGACTACTTAATAAAACATACTAAAATAGTTATTGGGAAAGTGACATGACAAATCATCACTTCATAATGCAAAAATAATTTCTAGAAGGACTAAATGTAAAAATTACATAACTTTAGATATAAGCAGACATTCTCTAGATATAAAAACAAAAACTTAAATTTTTCTGGCAAGTAAATAGTAATACTATTTAGTGATTTTTAAAATTTATCAAAAAAAGACTTTTCCTGTATCATTGTTGAAATAATTTATGCTTATTGGCCACTTATTTACTCTCCGATTTTTGATTGATGGCTTAAGAAAATCTAATCAGTACTTTTCCTTTCAGACAATATGGATTTTTCTCTTATTTGAGAGAATTATTCGATGCACCTGATCCTGTAATGAGTTACCTTTGCTCTCAGTATCATATTCATGAAGTTCCTGTAGGAACTGAAAGGACCAGAGAAAGAATTGAACGAGTAAGAAATTATTGAATTATTACCAGAAACTTAGTCTCATTAAAACTTTTAGCTAAAAGCAAGCAAAAAGTGTGAGAAGTTTGAATTAGTGTATCATTCTGTTGTTTCTTTTAATATTTTTGATACAACAACATAAAGCAGTGACTGTTGACTATTACTTTATGACAGGAGGGATGTGGAGTTAATAAACAAATACCTTCATATCTTTAAAATCTGAAAAGAGAATCTAGTACTCTTACCTGATTCTTCCCTGGCTTGACAAATCTATGTTCAGGCATTATATTAATGGTCATTTAAATTCTCGTGTTCAAGATTATCTTTCAGACAATTTAGAAGGGTAAGTGGGAATATGGAACTGTTTTGGAAAGCCTTCCCCTTCTTAAAGCTTTATTTAAGATTTTGATCTTTTACTGAAGATATATGAATGACCGTGCCTCATAGGATCTCATTTATTTGGTCAGTATGTATAAGCACGGAACTCTTAGTTCTTATATTCTGCTATGTTTGGAATTTTCTTCTTGCAAATGATCTCCCTGACTTCCAGTCACATGTACTTTTCACAGGCAGAAACAGAAAAGAAATCTCTCCTGGAACAGGTTTTTCCGTAACATCAAGTTGCTGTATTAATACTGTTCATGAGTATCTGGGATCCAATTACAGACCTACCTGCTGTGTAACATTTAGTTTAGTAGGAAATATGTTTTATAATATATTTTTAATTTAGTAGAAAATATGTTTTAAATTCTTCATTTGGGAGCTCTTTACTTCATTAACAGATAAGAGAAATGAGGGTTGGTTACCAACCCATTTTGCAAAAACATGTTGCCCCTGTCTTTTGATTAGAAATTACTTTGTATTACGGTAATCATTTACAGAACTGCAAATTAGAACTCCCCATGTAGGTGTACGTCTCTTGTGTCTTACACCAAACCAATTCTTGTCATAATTTCAGGGCTATCTCTGAAGGAAGATACTTGAGTACTAAGAAATGTTTACTAATGCAGAAGACAAAAGAAAGTTTAATAAAGGCTTTTTTTATAGCTTCACTTTCTGACAGAAAAGAGTAGTTACTTAATTTGGAAAAATTGCTTTGCATTTTGACTGGTGCTTGAATTGTTTTTATGCATTTTTACATTTAACATTTTAAGGAGAGCTTTAACAGTGCTATTTGTATAAGAGAAATAAATTTAGAGTTCATGTAATTTACCGTGAAAATGAAATTAATTCTTTCCTTCCTCTGTATGTTTTTTATTCAGGAATTTTTCATTAATCTTAATCTGTTTTATATAGATGATATTTTTAAAATTCTTGGAAACACTAAATGTTTCTTATACCGTATTGCTCCAGTGCCAAATGTATATACATTGTATATAAATTTTAATGATACACTTTTCAGACATGTATAAATGGTAAAGCTAAGTCAGAAAGTATTTCAAGTACCTGGTGAAGCCCCGAGTATTATCTTGGCCATCTTTATACTTGTTGAAGAAATTTACTACCTTTTTATCCTCAGTCCTTCTGTTTATTTCATGTCTAAATAATGGCTGTCTTTCTTTTTTACAATAAAAGTATATTCTTTAGTATGTATTTTTCTTACCAAGTTTTAACATTTTAGGTTCCCTAACATTGATTATATCCTGCTTTTGATTTCTGAGACTCTTCCCTTTGGTTAAATTGTCAGCTGACCTTAAGATGTGACATCCTTCTTGCTGGAAGTATCCTTCCCTTACTATCTCTGTCAGTTCAAGTGCAGTTGAAAACTCATTTTTATGAAATTTGGGTAGACTAACCTCATCCAGTCTGTCTCTTTATTCCAAATGTCTCAGGATTTAGGATGCCAGTTCATACTCTCTTGATTAAATGTGTTTAAATACGTCTTCCCTGTTCACTTAGACTATAAACTTCTGGGGGAAAATAAGGTTTAAGAGTATTGCTTATCAACTTTTAAAGATAGGAAAAAAATTGCAAGTGTTCCAGCTTATAAATATATAAATGTATTATATATTTATAAATATATAGAAAATATATGTAATAATAATAAGGTGTTTAGAATGTGTTTTAATTTATGAAACCTGTGTGTAAATTCTTAAGACAAAAACATAAGACAGTATTTTGAAAGTCATGAAAAATGACTCACTTGAGTATTCTCCCAAAATATATAGGAACTAAATATAAAATTATTTATCTTTAAACAATAAAAATGGGGGTGAGAGGAAGTAATCCATGATAACGTAGTTCAGTTTTCTGGGCAGCACCTGGCTTCTCATACCTCCTCTTTTTTTTTTTGAGACAGTTTCTAAAAACTCTGGCTTTGTCACCCTCGGTGCCATGGTATCATATCTCACAGCAACCTCAAACTTTTGGCCTCAGGTGGTCCTCTTGCCTCAGTCTCCCGAGTAGCTAGGACTACAGGCACTCGCCACAACCCTGGCTGTTTTTTAGAGACAGGATCTTGCTGTTGCTCAGGCCAGTCTTGAACTCCTGAGCTCAAGCAGTCTATTTGCCTCAGCTTCCCAGAGTGCTAGAATGACAGGTGTGAGCCACCGTGCCCAGCTTCCTCTTTAGGTATAACCAAACTCCACAAGTATACTTACTTGGGAGACGTTGTATAGTGAAGTAAAAGTATAATTGACCTTGCTAGTTGTTTTAGTTTTATCCTGATTCTCGAAGTGTTGTTTTCCAAAATATTGACCTGAAATAGATCAATCGCTTTTTTTGGGGGGGGGGGGATAGGTTAAAAAATGAAAGTAATACTTTTATTTTGATCTTCCAAGTTTTACTTGGTCTGCATTTTTAATTCTTTAGTTGTTTAAAACATGTAATAATTATTAGATGTGTGCTAATACTTTGGTTGTACATTATAGGTAATACAAGAAACCCGATTAAAACAGATTTATACAGCAGAAGAAAAATATGTGGTGAAAACTTCTTTTTATTCAAACAAAGTTATTTCTAGTAACACCTCTCTGAAAGTTGCCCAGTTTCTCACAGTCACTGTGGACCTAGAGCAAAGAAGACTCTTGGAAGAACAGCTAAAGGTCAGTTAATTAGATTTGAATGTTAGAAAAGAATATCAACTGGATTTCTAATACTCTAACTGTTTTTAAAATACGTTTTCAATTTTGACTATTCCATAGGAAATAAACAGAAAATTGCAAGCAGTGGAATCAGGGTTGATTGCCTTACGTGAGACAAGCAAACATCTAGAACACAAAGACAATGAACTTAGACAAAGGAAGAAGGAGCTTCTTGAGAGAAAAACCAAGAAACGACAATTGGAACAAAAAATTAGTTCCAAACTAGGAAGGTATTTCTTAACCTGTTTGAGGAGGAGGGAAGAACATAAAGGGCTGTGTGGGAGATTATTAATTATATCCTGTGTGATAACATAGTTTTGTTTATATAGATTGTATCTGTTAATATTTCACAAGAAATTAAAACTGAGGTTGTTCAAAATATTTATCAATTCATTTAAAAAAAAAAGACAACCCATCACATGTTAACAAAAATTTATTAAAAATAGCCAGATATGGTAGTTAGTGCCTGCAGACCCAGAAGACAAAATAACATTTAATGAGAGTGGCATTGTTTTACATTTTTCCAAATCTCTTTTTTAGTTGAAGTTAGTACTCCTTCCGTATTCAGTCTTCTTTGAGATGTTTCGCTTGAAGAAAATCTGGCTTCACATAAATATGTAGTTGACAGCTGGGTACAGTGTCTCATACTTGTAATCTTAACTCTCTGGGAAGCCAAGGCAAGAAAATTTCATGAGCTCAAGAGTTTGAGGCCAGTCCAAATAAGAGCAAGACCTTATTTCTACTAAAAATAGAAAAATTAGCCTAACACAGTGGCATGTACCTGTAATTCCAGCTAGAGACTGAGGCAGGAAGATGGCTTGAGCTTAGGTCTTTGAAACTGCAGTGAGCTATAATGACACAATTGTACTCTAGCCAGGGTGACAGAGCAAAACCCTGTCCCCCCCAAAAAAAAAAAAAAAATGTAGGTGAAAAAGGGAAGAGTATTTTAATAAATATTTCAGATAATTGGGGGTACTTTAATACACATCAAAACTTGCCAACCTGTAGTTTGTTCACTTGCAGTATGGAGTCTGAAATCCAGTCAGTGAACTTGTGTATGCATTAAAAGCTGTTGTATTTTAGATAGCTATTTTACTCATGAATTCGTTCCATCATGCATTGCTCATTTGGAAGATACTGGTTCAGCAAGTTGCGTATCTTTCAACTGTTGACACATTGTATGAAAAAAAATCACGTTCATCAGTGATCCCATCCGAAAAGTCTTTAAAAATTGGGAAGCTGCCAAGCTCAGTGGCAGATACACATTTTCTAAAATATTAATTTTAATTTTAAAACTTGAATTTTGTCAAAGTAACTAACAAATATGGTCAGTTATTTTCCTTGAAATGACAGGCTCACTTTATTCTTTTTTGGAAAAGAAAAATGGCCAATTACCCAAATCTAAATAATATTTTTTTTATCATTCTTTCAAGTAAAAATTGTATTACATGAAAATAGTGTCTAGTCCAGCCCCAGGCTTAAATAATCACAGAAATACTTTTCCTGAGATTACCATTGTATTTTTGTATACAGCACAAGTGTTTTATAAGTACAGTCAAGTCCTCCTTATCCATGGGTCCACATCCATGGATTCACCCAGTATTTGGGAAAAAAATGGATAGTTGCAACTGTATGTGTACATTTTTTTCTTTCAATTATTCCTTAAAGAATACTTGGTAACAACTATTGTATGTAACATTTACATTGTATTAAGTATTATAAATAATCTGGTGGTGAAAGCATATAGGAAGACATGTGTAGGTTGTATGTAAATACTACACCATTTTATGTAAGGGATTTGAGCATCCATGGATTTTGGTATCCCCATGGATCCTAGAACCAATCTCCCATGATATCAAAGGATGACTAAACTGTATGCTTAAGATATTGGGATTTAATAAAATTTATTTATTTATTTTGATAAATAAAATAGTTTATTTGTTGCCCTCAGTGGAGTGTTGTGCTGTCATAGCTCACAGCAACCTCAAACTCGTGGGCTCAAGTGATTCTTTTGCCTCAGCCTCCCAAGTAGCTGGAACTATGTACCCATCACAGTGCCCTGCTCAGGCTGGTCTCAAAAATTTTTATCGCCTCAGGGGCATTCTTAGGTGAATTTGGCATTTCTGTAAATTTCATTGCCTGGCAGTGAAGAATCTAGTGACACTTTGGTGCCCACTGCCTTGATTAATTCTAAAGCAGTAGCATTTTTACTCAACCATTGCTTTTATACTCAGTGCAAATGTCCCTGTGATGAGAAAAGCAAATGCTATCTTCGTATAGTGAAAATAATTTTTACCTCATAGACCCCTGGAAATGGTTTCAAGAATCCCTGAGGGTTTGTATAAAACATTTCAAGAACTCCTACCCTAAGTTGAAGTGTGATGCCTCAAGCCTGTTATTCCAGTGCTTTGGGAGGCCAAGGCAAGAGGATTGCTTAACGCCAGGAGTTCAAGGCCAGCCTAAGCAACATAGATTCTGTGTCTATAAAACATAAAAAAGTTAAAGCCTAGCCAGGTGTGGTGGCATGCACCTGTATTCCAATGACTCAGGAAGCTGAGGGAAGAGGATTGCTTGAGCTCAGGACTTTGAGGTTACAGGGAGCTATGATTGTGCTGCTGTACTCCAGCTTAGGTGATAAAACAAAAAATAAAGAAAGAAAGAAAGAAGTAAAGAAAGGCCCTAGGTGAATATCCCAATGATAGGTCCATAGAATTCAGAATGGGAGGAGAGGGGTGGAGGAGAGGCATTGGAAGAAAAGAAATTAGGCTTGTTTTCTCTCCAGTTCTGAGAGATAACAACAGGGAGCCAGGAGTTTATGATGATTTTCAAAGAACACATTGAGCACCTGAGGGTTTATCTCACTCATTCACTTGCAGTCTCCCTTCTTGCAATTAGGATTATGCCTACCTGGCCTTAAGGTCACATATTCCACAGAATTTTACACAAAACATAAATGTTGTCAGAAGTCTTTTTCTGAAAGGAAAACGAGCTTCCTGTCAGTGCCCAGGCAGCCATTCTAAGAACAAGACTATAACTTTATTTTGAATGTAGATATTTTGTAGAAACTGGAATATATAAGACAAAAACTTTAGGATGTCAATTTTGGGGAAAGGAAGGAACATGGTCCTAATTTTTAAGGTTTTTTTCTGTAACCTCCCAGTGACACAGCCCAGACCTTTTTGTTGTTGTTACTTTAACTCTTTTCGTAGAATAATAATACAGAGGTTAGTGACATGATCAATCCTCTGTAATAAATAGCAGCTTGCTGCCTTGAGTAAGGTAGGAGTTTACCTAGATAGTATGTATTCCTAAACTCATTCATAAATAGAGTCATATTTGAAACGTATTAGGAAAACTTGTTCTTTTTTAACCTTTTTTTCAAAGTAAACAATTGCCCATCAACTTTTATATTAAAAATAATGTACCTTGGTTGCATAAAGCAAAATCTACTTAACCTAGGTTCCTAGCTTTTTTTTTAACTTTAAACCTCTTTTTAAACTTTAACCCTTAACTTCATTGCTATCTTCACTTATCTACAAAACCCTTAACCTTTACTGTGCAACTGCTGCATTGGACCCGTTGTGTAAAACTAAATTTTGTCCTCTTAAAGTAATGTTAAGTTTTGCAATAGAAGGACTTTTCTTACTCATTACCAGCCCACTCTCTCATAACCTGCTTTTATTTGCTTTTGACTGCTGCAGTGGTCACTTGGCTAGTAGTTTCTCCCTAACTGGTCCTCTCTCCATTCAGTTCATCCAGAAAACCTGCAAAATTTATCTTCTTTGGATATTCCTACCCCATTCAGGAACATCTGCTATGGCTTCCTATCATTGCTACATAAAATTTAATTAAACACTACTCTCCTTTAGACTAGCCTTTACCATTATTTAAATTTTGTTCACCCTACCCATTCCATCTTACATCCCTTCCTTCCTTCCCCGACATACTCTTTATGTACCATTCAGGCCACTCTCTGTATGTACTGAACTTTTTTTTTTTTTTTTAATTGCTTCTATCCTTTGTTCTTTTTCCTTGTAGGCAACATGGTATAGTGAAAAAAAACGTGCACTCTGATGTTAAACCCATCTTAATACTTAATATCTGTGATCTTAGATATCCTATTGAACTTCTTTAAGGCTTGGTTTCTTCATCTTGGAGATAGCATAGTATTATCTTTTAGGGTTGTCGTGTTATCTTTTCATTGTGTTTTTTACCTATTGATCAACTCTCCTCACTTAAGTTCCTTAAAGGAGGAGACTGTTTTTATAAATAATATTTATAACAATAGTAATAACATATTCAATCTGCCACTTCTGGGCCAGATAGTATACTAAGTGTGTTACATGTATTACCTTTTTTAATCTTCACCACAGCCCTTTGGGGGGAGTATTATCTGCATGTTACAGATGAGGAAACTGAAAAGCTCAGAAGAGTGAGTTGTCTAATTATACTGCTAATTAGTGAGTGGCAAAGGCGGAATTTTCTGACTCCAGGTTCCATTATTGTTAGCCCTAGGATTACCTGGACTATGCTGGGCAAAATGTATATCTCAGCAAATACTTTTTGATCCCAACTAGTTGCACTAAATGATTGTTTAGTCTAGGAACTAGCAATTTATATATCTGAAAAGCTGACTATATCCCAGAAAACTATAGTCGATGTAAGGATTTTGGCTGTCATTTTTTTTAACTCTGATTTTTACACCATTGTGTGTGTCATACAGTTTAAAGCTGATGGAACAGGATACTTGCAACCTTGAAGAAGAAGAGCGAAAAGCAAGTACTAAAATCAGAGAAATAAATGTTCAGAAAGCCAAACTTGTTACTGAATTAACAAACCTAATAAAGGTAAAGCATTTTCTTAATTTTAGTCATTTTTTGAAGTGGCAGATAGATAAAAAAAAAAGATAGTAAAATCATAAGAGGGCTTGATTAGAGGAAAAGTTTTGGTTAGAGTTTTTGATACTTTAATTATATGAGCAAAAGATTTTTATCAGTTTTACCTTGCTCAGTTGTTTGGTGTTTCCTTTAGCGATAATAATGGGTTAAAATTTAAACATTCACTGAGCTACATTATTTAATTTCACCTAATAAATACACCTCTTAAAAATTTTTCTTGTAGGGCGGTGCCTGTGGTTCAGTGAGTAGGATGCCGGCCCCATATACTGAGGGTGGTGGGTTCAAACCCGGCCCCGGGCACACTGCAACAAAAAAATAGCTGGACGTTGTGGTGGGTGCCTGTAGTCCCAGCTATTTGGGAGGCTGAGGCACGAGAATTGCCTAAGCCCAGGAGTTGGAGGTTGCTGTGAGCTGTGTGATGCCACTGCACTCTACTGAGGGCGATAAAGTAAGACTCTGTCTCTACAAAAAAAAAAAAAAAAAAAATTTTCTTGTAAAAACTATGTCAGAGGCAACAGTCACAATAGAAACATTTTTTCATGGTTTATAATTTTATTTTAAAAAATAAAATATTTTTCTTAGTTCTAAACTATAAGTAGCATAAAAACTAAACTATTAGGGATTTTTGTTCCTAGATTTGTACTTCTTTGCATATACAAAAAGTAGATTTAATTCTTCAAAATACTACAGTTATCTCCGAGAAGAACAAATTAGAATCAGATTACATGGCTGCATCTTCTCAACTCCGTCTCATAGAGGTAAGACTTTGGCCTTTATTTTTTATTTAGGGGGTTCAGCCTTAGGCCAGTTTGAAAATATATATAGTATGTATCACTACTTGCAGTTTATATACCTGAAAAGCTGAATATATCTAGCTGATGAGGAAGCAATACTTGCAACACTTAAGAATGGCTTCCTTTTGGCTCGGCGCCTGTGGCTCAAGCGGCTAAGGCACCAGCCACATACACCTAAGGTGGC